TTGTAAACCCGTCGTCACTTCCACTACGCCCCTCCACTGCACAGTGACCATGGCTATACAATTTTTTATTCCTTTTTCCCAGGAGCTAATTGAGGTCTTCTCTGACTCTGTCAATTAGCCGTTGTCTTGAACATTTTCTCGAAATTGATTAATCAATGTCAATAAAAATTATTTATTATTATTGAAAGTTTTCAAATAGGTACCGTTGAAACATTATTAACGTTAAATCATAATAATAGAAAAAGAAAAACAGCAGATCACCGTCACTAGAGTCGAATTTTCCCTCAGCTGACTTGCTGCTAATATATAATATCGCGTGTATTTTTTTTTTTTTTTTTTTTGTGTAATGATAAGAAATTAAACTTAAAAAGCTTTATCAAAATAGGTTAAGTATTTCTCAAGACTTCCGTTAACATACAGACAGTGGAATCGAAGATTGGAAGTTCAGGCCTTCTAAATATACACATCCTCGACAGCAATTCTATATTTTGCATGTACACATTTCGATCAAGTTACTTTCATGAGTCTATACGGGTACATAAACGTGTTATTTTTTATGAAAACGTAAATTCTAAACACAAAAATGGTTGGGGCGAAAGTTGAGGGTGAAACAACCGAAATGCACATCTTTGATACTTACAAAACATAGCATACCCCTTCGTTTTTGAGGGACATTGTAAGTATACACAAAGTTAAAAAGTCACCTTTCTCGCACAACAACACAAAAGTTCATATTAAAAACCAACCAAAAACGTATCACTTCACTCTGCCTGTATGCATATACATAAAAAAAAACCACACTACAATTTCCGAATTTGAGCTCTTTTGGTCAAAATAGAGTCACTAAAAGTGTCCAAATGTACAAGAAAAAAATACCGTTTAATAGTTACTATTTTCGACGAAAGTTCGATCAAAAGATACTATATTCAGCTCCTAATACGATATTATCTCGATGTTTTATTGCCGAGTTGTTAAAACTATGTACTTAACGTAATTCGACGTTAATAAAACAATACCTAGTCGAGTAATAAGTCCATTTATTATAAACATTGATACCTAATCCTAATGTAATAAAATATTATTATAAAACAATATGATGTAACTCCGTACAAGATGGATTTGAAAATAGCGTTCAAACATGAACGGTTTGGTTTCTGACCAAAAGAAAAATCGTGCAAATCGTTTGTTGTAGTGCTGAATAATAAGTGCTAATAATAATGTAACAATATGTATATCGTATGTGTGGTATAAAATTAAATCAAAAAAATCCGTTCACGAGTGCATAACAACATACCATATGTTGTTCTACTTTACGTGCAACGTTACGTGACATTACTACGTTCGTAACATTCGTAGAACAGCAAAATAATATTTTAATCAACTGTTTTCAGGAAAATGCCTAAAAATACCTGCGTTTTGTGAAAAAAATATTCGATGTAAACGTATAGGTACCTCGGAACACCTGAGAGTTCATGTTATATCAGTATCGATTATTTTGTTTTAATCAAGAGTTTTAAAATCCGTTTGATACGATTCGTCCGATTTAAACGATCAAACTAATAACTTATTTTTTTTTTTTAACGTATGCAACTGCACGCGCATTAACATAAAAATTTAGTCACGACGTTCAATAGTATGTGTGTATGTGTGTGTGTGTGTATACGCGCGCATAAATAATGAACACGAGTGAAAGTAATCGACTTCCGAAAACCGAAAGAATTCCCGTCATACATAGACAACAGATACGTACTAGTAGACGAGTGTCGGAAACCTCAATGGGGAAAAGCCCCCAACACCGTTATGTACGTCGTGCGACTCCTCATACCCCTCGTGACTGAACAATTCCTGCAACTAATACTCGTAGACTTATTCAGTGGCACCGAAGTAGTTAAAAAAAGATACGTACATACTTCGCACGATGGGTGGGTCACTGTTGAAGGTGAAACGTTGGAAACATATAGGCTACTTTTTGTCGCGAATATAAAACTAAAAGGTGATGAAATAGGAGGTGAAAGGTTTTTAGGTATTTTTGGTACGAAAATTAAATCATTTTTTATTGAATTATGGATTAGTGGACCTTATTGGCTTAGTAACACGAATGAAATGAAAAACAAAAAAAATATAAACAATAAACGGAAATAAAAATGCCACAACAACTACTTGTAGAAACTTAAAATAAAGGGTTTATCTAAATATTATTCTAAATCTAACTATTTGCCAGTCTATTATTGACTCGAAATAGGATGGGCTATCTTGGAGTCATGGAAAAATAAACATTAAAAAAAAAAAAAACTATGCGCTGTACTAGGTGGATACAGATAACACATAAAACGTCATATTTAAATCTTTTGGGTATTTTTTATAACAATAATAATAGTACATATAATACATGTATTATCTGTGGTAACACCATAGTGCTTTTATACCTATGCCCTCATGATTTTACCGTTATAATAGTAAATAATATATAGGTGCCTGGTTTAATGCTTGTTCTAAGCGGGTATCTATGGTAACGCGGCTGAAAAAATTAAAACACGTTTAAGACTGAATTTCGTCCGTAGTTGGCGGACTCTCCACCTATTTTTTTTTTTTTTAAGTAAGTGCCTATTGAATAACTGATACAGGTATAGGAAAACGAGATTAAAGGTAAAAATAATAAAAAATTGGCACGGGCAACGCCGGACACGAGACAAGCTACAGTATCTTACAATAAATTATTATCAATATTAAGTATATAAATGATAATAAGTACCTTTTTAAAAACGATCCATATCCCCGGCCCGTGACAAAATTATTTGTCCACCACACGTGGATGAGAAACCTAGCATTTAGAGGGGATGGAAAGTAAGAGAAAACAACAAAATACGGGGGGGTTTTGGCCCATCGCACTTAGGACGTGGAACGCGGGGATTGGCATAGCGAGACGGACACACAAATCTAGCTGGTCGATTCCCATAAGTATACCAGAAGGATTTAACATAAAAAGAAAACATTTATACAAACATATTCATACGGATTAATATTAATTAAATAACCTTAAAAACTAATTAACTAACTAACGGCCAATTACTAAATAATATGCATATTACCAGCGTTCTCCCGAAGATGTCCGCCCGGCGGACCGGATCGGGACTCACTTCGTTGATTCGTTCAAGGCGCCATCATGAATCGTGCCAAGGTACGCGACCTTTTCTTGACGGCAAAAATCGGTGAATCCGTGTAATATACGAGAGTATTTTATTAAGAGAACTGTATCTAGAGACCGTCTGGTGACAGAAATCTCGAGACGACGTGTAGACACGAAGAAACAAAAGAACAACTGGGTAGCGGAGCGCGGAGACGTTCGTGGCACCGTCGCCGCGGGCCGACGTTTTTGGCGATAAGGGAAAACGTGATATGATTGGCCGTTAACCCGCAGTCGAAAATAGAATATTATTGCGAATCGCAACAGATTGCGATCGCATAAACCTTTGCGCGTGTGTGGGGGGGGGGGAATTATTGTTAATGATGACATAACATGTCCGTCGAGACGCGGGCGTAATTTATTAACCGGTCGACCATATCGATAGTATGTTTGTTTGTCCTTTGATAACGGGAAATGGTCGCTTTTGTGCGTTACAGGGTAGTTTAATAAAAATCTGTATTGTACATTTTTTCTTTTATTTCTACTATTTCTCTAGGCATTTCTGTTGCATCAAATAATTTTACCAACACATTACCTAGGTAGATGAACCTACCGAACAAAAACTAAAAAAATGCCTACATAAATAGTTAAAAAAAAATCGACATACGTTCCCAAACGTCTAAAAAAAAAGCTAATACAGGCTATATAGTGTCTTGTGAAAATTTCAGTTCTCTTCAATAATTTTTAACCGATTTTCAACGAAAAACCAAAATCTAAAATAACTAAACTATTAGGTAATGCCTTAAATTCTCCCGTATTTCCTGCGATTTTTTCCATTTATTATGAAAACTGATTGGAAATCAGAACACGACTTCCTTAGTGACCAACTAGTTCTAAAATGCATCATGGATAAAAGATTCCTGGTCATTTTTCGATTGGAGCAAGATTTCTAATAGAAAATATAAACTATACAATGTTTGCAACACATCTCAAATAATAAAATTAGTAACGTCACGGCATGTGGTAAATATTTGTTCATTTTACATAGGTATGTTTTTTTTACCGGGTTTTTCGATTATATTATGAAAACTCCTTCGAAAATTTAAGACCACCAAAATTCTGGACTAATCCAAAATGCTACTAAAAAGGTCTCGTCTCTTGTTATTTTTCGATAGAAAAGTTGTTAACAGAAGAAAAATATACACATAATAAAACGAATAGGGTGAGATCCCTCGCTGTTAATGCTCAAAATATTAGTAATGAGTTATTGTTATTTCTTGAGCATGAAATATTTCACTTTAAATTTCATACAGATTTAAATATTGAAAATGATTTATTTTTTTCCCGAATGTTTGTTAAATTAGTTATTTTAAATCATAATTGATTAACATTAAAATTATGATGATATTGGATTTGGTTTAAATTTTAAACATTATATACATTAGATTAGGTACCTAGTTCAAAAATAAAAGGATTGTAGAATATTGTAGGGGTAGAATCTATAGCAGTACCTATCTATTAATTAACTTGGTGCACTTCTACTCAGTACCTATATTATAATCGTTTCCATTATTAAGCAGTTGAATTAATGTAAGCACTTTTGCGTAGGCATATCATTCAAGGTTGTTGATTTGTTATGTACCTAAGCGCATAATTGTTTGGTAGATATTTTATTATACAATAATTTAAGTCAATTAACCATATAAACGTTTGCCTTAACACTGTACAACAGACGTTTATTTTTCTAGTACAAGTCCAATTGTATACAGATTTGTCGGAGTCCACGGATGAGAATACAATGAGGTCAGCAAATTATGAACACTCAAGTTGTATACATTTTTTAGTATTTAATAAAAAAAAAAAAACGAAGGCACAAAGAGGATATTAAAATTCTATATTTGTTATGTATCAAAAAAAAACAAACTAAATTAAATAGGTAATGTATTTATATTTTACATTGATAATTATTAACTATATGGTATATATATGTTTTAATAATTACTAATAATGAAGCTGTATTTAATTGTTTAAATATAATTTGTATATTTATAATAGGTTATAATTTTATAGTTGTAACATTATAACCTATTAAAGTACCTAGGTACTTACCTACTTTTTTAGATTAATACAAACTGTTTTGAAATGTTTTAATTCCCACAATACTATTTTAACATGTTTAATATTATTTATTTCCAAGTACCTATTGTATAAAAAAAAAATATTCTCCGTTCATGCAGATTAAAACACTATAATATATATTATTAAATTTATATTTTTTTCATAAAAATATGTTAACAATTATCTTGTCTTTTGAATTAATATATGCATAATATATATTATTTAAAATTGTGTTCAATATAGAATTTGTCCAAATGGACGATAGCATAATATTATAAATAATTCATTATTTGAGTAAAATATTTATGAATTAAATTAATTATGTTGCTTATTATGGAATACAATTTAAAAAAAATCACAAATAAAATGTATGCATACATAAAAATAAAAAAACTTATCAATTTTTATATTAAAAATCATTAGTTGCACATATTAATGTGTTTATGATATAATTAATAAATTGTACGCCAAGTATAAATATCAACAATAATGGAATGTAATTTTTAATCAAAATAATATTATTTTAAAATAAGATTAAGAAAATTTTAAATTTTAACCAGTGTTTTTGATTCCTTCAGTATTATTAAATATTTTACCTAAATAACAATACAATATTTATAATTAATTTAATAGGTAACAATACAATATATTATATAGATATATTATACACAATTTAACAATGTTATCAAACTATAAAATATAATTGTTTTAGTTTGTTTAAAAATATATGGCACTAAAGTAATTTACTTTAGAATAAATTATTTTAAAAAATATTAAAATAATTGAAACAACATTTAATTTTAACTTATAAAACAAAAATATATAATTTTAATTTTGGGTAATTATAGGTATGCGAATATTGATTACCACACTAAGGCACTTCTTTATAATATTTACCATTCTTCATCTAGAATACAAATTAATCATTCTAAAATGTGGTGGGAAGACTAGAGAATTATAATATATTGCATTAAATACATAAATCCAAATGTACACCATTGGATCAATGTGACATATTTCTTTTAGTATTGTCATTGTTTATAAATATTATATTAATATTAGTATACTCTATAGTTAATTGTGTTAAAAACAAAAGTTTTTTAAGCGCATTTTAACAATCAGATTTTTAGAAGAAAAACAATATACAGAGTATACCAGGACTGTTTAATAAATGTATAAATTTATTTACTTTTTTTATTGAATATTTTTTAAAGTTTTTTTGTATATAATATTTATTACTAGAGCTCTACGCTATAATTTTTATATTTTAGAAAGCTATTTTATAAATTTTGTTAAAATTCAAATTTATTTCTTGCTAATTTTAGAAAATTTAAGCACACAAACAATGTCACATTACTTTAAAAATAACTAAGTAACTTAATTTTAGTAAAAGTTTTGGACACCAACATTTTTCTAAAAATCTAATTTACAAAATGGCCATCTCGTTTGTTTTTTTCAAATTTTAAATACCATTTTATATTTTTTATTTTGAATTCCTAAATATTAAATATAAAACTAAAAATATTCAATAAAAAAAGTTATTTCATTTGTAAAATAGTCCTTTACAACACTCTTTATATAAATTTAAATATAATTGTATACTAAGACAATATAAAATGGAAATTAAATACCTATTGAAATATTTTATGTTTTATTTATATATAATAACTTTAAATAAAAATTAAATAAAAAAAATATATATAATTATAAATAGATATTTTGTTCAAGCTATAACAATTAAATATATTACCTACAGTTTAAAATTTAATTTTTTGATTTTTCACAGCCTTTTAAATCCAAACATCAATATTTATTTATATATAATATATACAAATACATTATCACATTAATAAATTCTTAACAATTTAAGCAAAAGTGCAAATTATAATTAAATCTTTTGAAGCATATGCAAGTTGAGAACTTCTGGAACTTCAATATCTTCTAGTCGAATATTCGATGGGTGAAATGGGAATGTGATAGGATAAACATATTTAGTATCCATTAATAATTTCTCCTAAAAATAAATAAAAATAATAAATATTAATAGTTATACCACTTTAATTAAATAATTTAAGAGGATGTGTGAACACCGTCATTTAAGGAATTCAATGCTATTATCTCAGTATTTTCGAAAAAAAATAAAAAACTATCTTCTCTATAATACTCAAATTCTCTTTTAAATACATTTATAAGTACTTCCAAATATTATTACAAGTATTTATTCATTTATTATGAAATAAACAAAAAATAGAGGAACTGTATTGCGTAAAACAAAAACCACTCAGATACAACAGGTCAGGTACCAAATTTTTAACATAAAAAAAAAGAAAACAAAGAGAATTTGCACTTCGCTGGTCGTGGTGAAGTGTTAAAATCTTAGATGATATTACACAACTGGAGTATTTAAATATCAAAAGCAGAGATATTGGATTTGTATAGTCTATGATTGGGTACTGATTGGGTTTCCATTAGCCTCAAAATAGTTTTAGTTAATATCACCATTTAAAAAAAAATTGTAAATGTTGGTTTTAGTCATAGCAAAACAATATAAAATAATCTCAGAAATTACCTTATCTTGACATTCTGGACGTTCTTCTAATTTATCTTTGACTTTTTTAATGAAATCCATAGATATACGTTCCTCACAGTCATCAGTCGGCTTAAATGATGTGAGGAGTTTAATAATCTATAAAATCAAATTTATATTATCTTAAAATACATATTTTAACAAATGAAATTAAGTGCTATACAGAATTATTTATTTTTATTAAATGTTGTCAAATTGACAATTTTATAAACAAATTCTTAAACTTAAAAAAGGCATTTAGTGTATTAAGAAATTATAATACTAAAGTAAAGTTTATAAACCTGGCAGATTCAATTTTATTTAAACTCAAAAAAGGCAAAAGTATTGTAATTGCTATTTTTTAAATGAATTATGTAACTTTTATTTTGAAAACCATAACATTTTATAATACTAACTTGATTTGCATTCATTTTATCACACATTTCACATATACTGTTGACATCATCATCAGTTTTTCTTGCTTGTAACAACTGAGATGCTTGTATAATTGGTAATAAGGTATTGACAACATCTTGTGGCTACATTTGAGATAATAATAGATAATAATTTGAGTATTCACATAAATATAAAAGTTTAAATACAAATTAAATATTTAACTTAGGTAGAGATTTACTAGAATTCTTACATATGGTATTTTGTCTCTTATCCACTGCTCTAGATGTGATAAATTAAATCTAATTTGCATGCCTTTAGCCCAATAACTTAAATCTTTGCGTAGTAATAGATTGTTCAATGCATTAGCACAAATAAAGTAGTACAGCTTAAAATAAAGGTTATTAATTATTATTCACGGCCATCTAATTTATAACAACCAATTATTTTACTTGTTTAAATATTTGTATAATAACTTCTTGATCAATCTCATGAGCTATTAGTTGACTGTACATGGTATTTAATTCAGTTTCCAATGTATTAGTTGTTGGACTAGTTGGCGATTGATTTAGCTTCAATGAACCTAAACTACGTCTCATGCTTTTACCAACATCAATTCCAAGTGAATCATGCTCCAATAAAGCTGGAACTATTAATATTCTTATGCTCTCTTGCATTTTTTGTACCAATTCCTAAAAGAAAAATTTGAGAGTTGAATTTATAAATACAATCAAACATTATACAAATTAAATAACAATTCTAACTATACAAATTATTACAAATAAAAAAAAAAATGTATTATTACTTGATACAGAATTACAGCATGATCACAAAATACTTGACGATAATCAGCTAAATCAAAATTTTGTAAAGCTTGAGAATTTTGCTTAGTTGTGTTGTCGCTTGAAAAAGCCGGTTCTCCACTGTATTGCTTGAGTATATGTACTAGTCTCATCGTATTCGATAGCCACAAAATCATAGAGTCATGTTGAGGTCGTTTTTTCATTACTTTTTGAAGATTTTTCACTACATTAGTTAAAAATGATGCAATCTAATAAGCAGCAAAAGTAAAAAAAAATATAACAATAAATAATTGTAGTTTATCGATATTTATATAAAACTAAATTATTATATATTAAGAACTCACTTTTTTTTCTTCTTTTGTAAAATCATAGTAACGAATACACATGAACAAAATATATGCCGGTAAACCTGGTAATAATTTTAGTGCAGTTTCGGGCCTTAATTCTAAAAAAAAAAAAATATAATTACAAACAAATAACTTTTATTTGCTTTTTGGAATAATAAATTGAATATTTACCAATAATTAAATTTCGAGCTATAATTGGATCATCATCTATTGTACACTGGAACATTCCTAGAAATTCGGTACGATTCTTTTTTTTGGCAATAATTGTTCCATCATCAGTAGCAATTGTTGTACTGTTAGCAAAGTTTTCATTATCAATTGCTACATCTAACCAAATATACAAATTAGTTAATTTATTATTATAAAATTCTTATAAATAAATTTACCAAAATTAATAGTGGAGTTTTCTTTCCCATTAAATAACATATCATTTCGCAAAGTCACATATTTTCGTAAAAGTTCATCATATTTTTGTTTCAATTTCTAAGAATAAATATAATTTAAGCATTATTAATAAAATATTTAATACGTATAAATATAAATTTTAAACACAGGAACACAGGAAACTAAAATTTAATTTTTATATATAAATAATTCTTACAAGATTTTCATAATTGAGTTTATTCATATCTGATTGCAAAATGGCATCACATTGAGGATTTTTATCAAATTCGATAGCTAAAAGTTCTTGTTGTTTTTCATTCTCCTCTAGTAATTTTAAAAGCTGAATGGACATTTTTTCTTTCTCTTCTTTCCACTTATCTTTTTCTGATTGGAACTCCTCAACAAGATGCCTTCAATGGAAATATGTCAATAAAAATAAATTATTAGTTTTTTCATTTTCATTTGTTTAATTGTATTTTGAAAATAAAAAAAATTACCGATTAATAGCTTTTTGGGCATCCATTGCTTGATTCAGTTCTTTATCTTCAGTTAACAATGAAGTTGTTTTCTCATAATCAACAATTCTACGCAATGATTCTGCCGTACCGTCAAGACGATTTTTTAATTTATTGTATTCTGCTTTCTTTTTTAATAATTCATCTTGCAATGTTTCTAATTGTCCTAAGTAAATATAATTATTTATCTTTTAACAGAATAACATTAAAGTTCAATCCTAAAGTTAATTAAGCAGGGTTACGGAAAAGACACAAGTTCTTCATTCATTAGATATGCATTTATTGGTAAAATTATCTAATTGACAGGAACATCTAGTTTAACTACAAATTTAAATCATAATAAAAATATAATAAAATTCAAATAAATAATAAAAATAAATAAAAAATTAAATATGAAGGAATTCTTCAACAGTCAATGGGAAAATAAATAAAATTCAACTAATCTGATTATAAATTTGAGAACTTTTCGATATTTACGAGTCAAATCATCAGCGACGATGAAATTATTGTTGCTTGATGATACTGTTGCTTCTCGAAGTGAATTTATGTTTTGACGTAACAATATATTTTGTTCTTTTAATCTAGAAATCTAAAATCATAAAACAGATGTAACAGTTATTTATTTTATACTTTTATATCATTATCAATTAAAATTATGTTGCTTAGTAACTTACGTCATTATCACTAGAATTGTCTCTAACCAATTTGTCATTTTCTATTTTTTTTAATAACATATCTCTTTCCATTTGAATGGTTTTCAAAGATTTTTGAAGTCTTAAGAAATCATCATTTCCAATATTGTTCTGAAAAATATAATATATTTTATATCTATAATATATTGTATACAAAAATTAGCATATTTCTTTTAGTAACTCTGTTAAGCATAACCTATGAATGCATAACAATATTAACTCTAAATAACATTGTTTATTTCTTGGCAATTAGACTATTAACAATACAATTTGTCTAAATAGCAACAGCTGTTGATTCATCATAATGTAATCTAATAATTAAATACCATAAAATGTGTTATTGCCAATGTTGATATTCATATATTATTAAAAATGTATAACAGATAACATTTTCAGTATAACAATTGGAAAATTAACTAGTTAATTTATCAAGATTGGTCATAATTATAATATGTTTATTACAGATATTGACTAACTTATTTGGATGTTAAATAAATTTACTAGTTAATCTTTCTATAGCCTAAATTTACAACACTGTATGGAGAGAAGGTCTACTGTTCAAATTTCTTAAAACTATCAAACGTCTGACTTTTTACAAACTATTAAATGAGATGTTAACGAATCGTAGTTTTACAGTACATATAGGAGCGTCCAGACAAAACAACTAAATAATGGACTTCCCCAGGGCTCAGTACTGGCACCGACTCTTTTCAATCTATACATCNAAATATCAACCAACTATTACATTCGGAAACCAAATACTACCATATAACCCTACCCCTAAGTATCTCGGAGTAACTCTCGACAGGACACTGACATACAAAAATCACCTACAAAATACCGCTGCAAAAATAAGACAAGGAACAACATCATCCAGAAGCTCGCTGGCTCAACTTGGGGAACCTTAACTGATACCCTTAGAACATTCGCATTAGCTTTAATCTACTCAGCTGCAGAATACGCTGCCCCTGTATGGCTAAATAATGCACACTGTTCTAAAATTGACGTACAGCTTAATTTTACCATGCACATTATCACTGGTGTAGTAGACTACCCCCACTCAGTGGCTCCCAGTGTTATGTAACATATACCCACCCCACACCCGACGTTTGATAGCTACCGCAAGAGAGTGNCAAATACTACCATATAACCCTACCCCTAAGTATCTCGGAGTAACTCTCGACAGGACACTGACGTACAAAAATCACCTACAAAATACCGCTGCAAAAATAAGAACAAGGAACAACATCATCCAGAAGCTCGCTGGCTAAACTTGGGGAACCTCAACTGACACCCTTAGAACATCCGCATTAGCTTTAGTCTACTCAGCTGCAGAATACGCTGCCCCTGTATGGCTAAATAGTGCACACTGTTCTAAAATTGACATACAGCTTAATTCTACCATGCGCATTATCACTGGAGTAGTAAAGACTACCCCCACTCAGTGGCTCCCAGTGTTATGTAACATATACTCACCCCACACCCGACGTTTGATAGCTACCGCAAGAGAGTGGACCAAATATACACAGAATGATACACTCCCAATACATAAGGATATACCTATGAACTGCACTTTGAGACTAAAGTCGAGAAAGCCTGTCTGTCTAACAGCAAAAAAACCTCATTGGAAACCAATTCAATGGAGAGAACGACTGGAGAACAAATTGGAGCCTATCAAACCCTGATAACCATCACCTAATCAAGGACCCATGCTTCCAAATACCTGGCTTCTCATTAAAATGACGAGGACACGGAAGATGTGGAGAAATGCTATTCAAATGGGGTATGAAGGATTCTCCTGTGTGTGATTGCGGTCACCCGTCTGAAACAATGGAGCATATCATAGGACACTGCCCTATTCGAGCTTTCAATAGCACAATTAACGATATCCACGGCGTTTCGGAAACGGCTCTGGCCTGGTTGAGATCACTCGATGTTCTCCTATAAAAGGTCATTCCACAACACAGAAGTTACCATAAACTAGACTAATTACATAATATCTTTATTATTGTTATTTATTTTAACCTCTATATATTCTACTTAAGTTTATTTATTTATAATTTTATTGAGTAGTAATGCTTGTTAAGAATACCATACGATAATAATAATAATAATAACAACACTGATAATATGTTAATAAACATAAACAAATCATATCATGTATAATTCTTACAGTAAAATGTATACATCTACTATTACTAATATTATTTAAGAAATATAAAAAAATTGTTCTAAAATAAATTATCATCTACAACTACCAATGTTCTTTTTATTCAAAATAAATGTTACCAATTAAAAGTATACAAATAAACCATAAAAAAATACCACTAATATTTGTAATAAATTTAACAAGAAATGTTACAAACCTTGATTTTAAAGACCAAACTTAACCGAACTTTCCTTAAATTAACAAACCCCAATTGAACCAAACCTACACATTTTTATCTGAACTCGAATATTAAAAAAAGTAAAGATTGGGTTAGGTCAAAAACCTAGGTTCTCAAACTTCTTGGTTGTGTAATTTAAAATTACGAGATCCACTAATGTTGAAAATAGAATTTTTCTTTTTTAACAAGGCCACTATGTTTCACCACAGAACATCAAACTGGTGACCACGCAAAATCGGTATCAAATTATATTTTCAGTTCGTCACATCTCTAAATATAACAATTTTTGTAACTAACTTAATTTAGAAATTTTAACTATACTATGAAGTAAATAACTCATCATAACAAATATATTTCATGTAATGATCATAGTGCAACTAATTTAGCCAACCTGCTAAAAAAAAATTAATAAAATGTTTTTATATTTCTGAGATTTATAATACTTTAAAAATACGTGAATATCACATTATTAAAACCAAAGCAAATTAAAAAGAAGTTAACATTTTTTGTTGCTACAAATTTCAATAACAACTTACAGTTTGTACATCACCATTTGGTGCATATCCATTCTGTTTATAGGATTGTAGGCTTGAATCTGATTCATTGCGTTTAAGACCATCTCCTGATCCATTCATAATTGACTGTTGTTCAAATATTTCAAGTTTTTCTTCAATTAAACGTTTTTCTGATAATAATTTTTGATATTTACTCTTTTCTATTTCAACTTCATCATGAGTTTTTATCATTTCACTGTTAAATTTACTACTCCAACTCTCTAAAACAAACATGTAATAACTTTACACATTATTTTAAAATTAAACTAATGATATGTTAAAAAAATAGGTAAAATTATAAAGTCAAATTACAAAAATCTCAACTGTCTACAAATAATATTATATTATTATTCTCTAGCAGTGTAGTTCTCAACTAGTATGTCTCATAGTATCATAATTTTATTTTTTTAGTAAAATGGCAACATGTAAATATAATAATTTACATAGGTTTATGTTGTTTTTTTTTTTTTTTTATAAATCTACTAGATAGTTGTTACCACTACTTATTTATATGATTTAAAATTAGGTATCTTCATGAAAAAAAATTGAAAACCACTTAAGCTATTATTCTAGCAACTTAAAATATTTACATTTTCATCATATTAGTTATCAAAATAAATTTATTTTGAATTATTACTGGAAATTCATCTTCTATTATAAACTCTTACATATTTGTCCCCGAGAAGTCTAATTTACAAGACCATAACTTTCATGTAAAAAATATTTTTAATTAACATACCTTCAATTTCTTTTAATTTTTGTTGGTTGTCTTGTTTTAAGACAACTAAATTAGATTCTAATTCTTCAATTTTTTGTTGCGCTTTAAAAAGTTCCTGTTCAGCTTTGGAATATTTATCATCATAGGATTCAAGCTTCTGTGAAAAAGTTTTCTTCTCAGATTCATATTCTGCTTGTAATGTACTATATTGAATTTGCATTTGGTGTGAATTCTTTTTTACAATATTTAGTTCTGATGTAATTTGTTTTTGTTCCATTAACTTTTGTTTTGTTTCTTGTAACTCAATTTCTAATGATTTTGCTGATGATAATTGGTTATTCTAAAAGATATAATTGTATATATTATGTTTTAATTGTATTATTTAAGAATTAATCAGAAGTTCTAAAACAACTGTGGTAAATAATATAAATTGTATAAGACTTTTTAATAATTAATACATTATTTAGCCATTGAAAAAAAAAAAACCTTACTAAGTCAGTTATTTTCTGTTGCATTGTGTAAATTTTATTTTCTAAACCTTTATTCAACTTGGTTACATGAGCAACTGAACGAGCTTCTTTCTTTAATGCTTTCAAGCATCTTCTTGCAAACCATCTTCTTATACAACACTGGACTTTAATAATTTTATCTAATGTATCATGATAATGACGATAACATAACCACATTCGAACTATTGATTGAATACGTACAGCCTAAAATACAATATATTATTAAAAAAGTACAAGGTGTAACCATTATTTCAGTGGTCAGCAAATGATAACCCGTGTCCGTTTTCTATTATATTAGTAAATATTTATTTTAGTTTTTAATGTTATGAATATAAGTAATATTACCCACAAGCCCAGTAATATGTTGCCGACTACTGTATTTCCTAATATTAAAATTACTTACAGCATTATTTCGCCTCAACTCTTGAGTAAATTGTCTAGCTACATAGCCACGATAATACTTTTGTAAGACAAGTGTAGCTACTTGTACACGTAAATACTTCTTACGGCATAACCACCCTCTTATAACTTTCTGAATTTTAATAGCAGCTTTAGATCTTCGCAAGTGTGTTGCCAAACTAAACAATTTAATTTAAATATTTACTACAGATAAAGGAAAAAAACAATTACTTTATTACCATCTAGCTAAATAACCTCTTCCGTAGCTTTGAATTAATAATGCACTACGTCGAATTTGCATGTATTTTTTTTGGCATATATATTTTCGCCAAGTTTTTTGAATGCATATACTACAGTCTCTACGTCTATCAGCACGTTTTCTTTCTAAATATGCGACTTGGCCAGCTCTGAAAAATATTTTTGTATTTCCATACTTGTAATTATCTTCAGTCTGAAAAATGTTAAGCTAATTAGTTTTTAATACTGTAATTACAATTTGTATTATACAAATTTAAATATACTTGTATATGTTCTTCAACAATTCGTTGACAAGTTAATTTAGGATCTTCTCTACTAATTTTTTTCGATTTAAGCAATACACGATATCGCAAGAAGAAATCCACATAGGTCCATCTAAAATATGTATAATTATTTTATTAACTTAAATAAATGTATGAAGGTAAAATTTTACCTAGAAGGAAAACCAGCGGCACTAATACGTATTGTTTCCAACACACCACATGCACGTAATTGATCAACAGCTCGTTGATGATCGAAAACAAATGGCATCTTATCATCATTTGGTTTAACACATCTTATATAATGTGGAGTAGTATCATTAAGTGTAGTCATAAGAGCATTAAGTGAATCTCTAAATTGAGAACCCACCTGAAAATATTTTTTTATAAAGTTTATCTAAAAATGAAAATTATTATAACCTACAGTTTTCTTATTTTGTTTAGAATGTGAAGGTGATCCAATGGTTGCACAAATTGGCCTCATTGGTGTTAACATTCGTGATTTTGGAGTTGCTCCAATAGTAGCTGATTTTGGAGTTGTGAGAGTGTTCGCTTTACGATCTGGGATACTGAGTTTACGATCAGTTGAACTTTCGACCATAAATATCGTACGTAACATACTATTTTTACCGTTTCTTAATACATTAACCTAAATAAAAAAATTAAATTAATGTTTGAATACAATATTAACTTATAAATATGTACTTGATCTTCAATAACTGTATCTTTATTTTTATCCAAAAATCCCTCCGAATAATATTCAACATCTCCCGCAAAATGTTTGATTGTGAAAGCACTTCCAGCTTTAAAATAAATGTAATACATTTAATAAATAGCTGGAAGTTCAAAAAAATATGTTTATCTATATAATATAGTTACCAAATTTAGGTTTTGAAAATCTATCCCATTTAGTACACTTTGTGTATAGTTTTTGGGTCCATGATGCATCTGAGCCTTGGGGCATCTAAAAGTTGATACATATTTTGAATTACAATATTGATTTCTTAACAATAGATAAGTTACTTAAATAACATACTCGACATTCTTCATCAAGAAGATCAAGTATTCCCAATTTAGATTCTATAAGATCAATGCAAGGTTGGTTATCATAAAAATCAATGAACTTCCATTCAATTCCTTCTTTTCCGTATTCTTCTTGTTCCAATTTAAATACATGCTATAATGCATAAATTCAATAAGTTTTTTTTTTTTTTTATCAGAAATATTAAAAAATATTTAATTAATGAAACACACTAAATTGAACTGTTGTTGAAGTTTTTCATTTGCATAGTTAATACAAAATTGTTCAAAACTGTTTAACTCAAACATTTCAAAACCATATATATCCAAAACACCAATTATTGGACAATTCAACTAAAATACCAATAATAATGTAATAATTAGAATTTAAAAAAATATCCAGTATTTTTTTTTTCTTAAACAAACCGATGGTGTTGATTCACACATGGTCCTATTCATTATTGATATCAGCCATTGAAATAATGATGCATACATATGTTTAGCTAAAGCATCACGAGCTCCGCTAGCCTAGAAAATAAAAAAAGAAAAATTACACATTAATAAAATAATTTAAGACATTTACATACTTCATCAGCAGACATTGGTTTTTCATAAGTTTCCTTCAAGCTGACAATTCTACGATAACATAGCCACTTATGAAGATCACATTTATTAAGATCTAGTAAATCTGACACTACTTGTAAACTTGGATCTTCAAGCTAATATAAAAAAAAGAATTGAAACAATTATTTTTTAAATGGTTTATAAATAGTATTTATAATAATAAAAACAAACCGATATATAACATGAATCACTATCACCAGCATTTTTTTGAGTTTTGTCAGTAATTTCAATATTACCCAGATGTAAAATACTCGCTAATACTTTCCATATGAGATCTTGATCTTCTTGAGAAAATCCTAATATATTAAGTGCATTGACCGTTTCGACAAAACTGTCACGATCATTTTCACTACTAGGCTGTGAAGATAAATAAATATATTCTTCAGAATCACCTAAAAATTATCATTCACCAATTAGCATTATATTATATTTACATTTCATTATATTTACCTAATTGTAAATGAGGCAATGTTTCACGCGAAGAACATAATTGATAAAATATATGATAATTTCGTTCGTAAATTGCTTGATGCACAACACGAGATTTTTCAAGGAGATATGTCCTCATACTTGCTCCTATTATATGATTGTGATCATTAAAATGAAGTTCAATATATTTTCCAAAACGTGAAGAATTATCATTCCTAGTTGTTTTGGCATTCCCAATTGCCTATTAAGTATAGTATATTCATTATGCCCACACAGTTTTAAAGTTCTAATGATATTTTAATAAAAAAATACCTCCATGATAGGACTGGAAGCAAGAACTTTCTTCTCGACTTGAGTTTCAGTTTCAGAACCACTGATTGTAGCAAAATACCTCATTGCGTATTTAGCAGAAACTGTTTTTCCAGCACCTGATTCACCCGAAACTATGATACTTTGATTGTTATTCTCACTGAAACATATCCAATTTGATAACTACACTAGCAATTTAAAATTGTTTATTTAATTTTATCTCACATTTCCATTTTATTAAATGCTTGTTCAGCTACAGCAAACACATGTGGATCTAAGCTTCCCATAGTCTGACCTCTGTACGCCATCATTGTGTCAGTACCATAAATATCAAGATCTTTATATGGGTTGATAGCCACTAATACAATTCCTAGAGCATAATATAAAAATAATAAATGAAAATAAAAGTTAAATTTGTTTTAGCAATAAATTATTACCACAATAAGTGTAAATTGCATGACTCTGAACAAATCTACAATACAGATTGTAAAGAATTGCAGGTTCATGTAGGTATGATAAAGAAGTAAGATCATTTTCTCCAAGAAGTATATCAGGATTCTGGAGAGGTGGCAATTCTTCATCAGAAGAAATCTTGATGAGTAGTTCATCTCTGGATTTTATTTTTCTCACCGTCAATTTATTACCATTATATGCTTCCACTATCTCAGCCGTTTGCCAGACTTCTGAATCACAAGGTATCCATACTTTTGTCCCCTAAAACAATACATAACATATAGTTTTATTCAAGACAATCAATATTTTCAATATATATCACCAAGTTCTGATATTATACATATATTATGTTATGTTAAATAACTCTATATTGTATCTCTATAAAATATTTGTCATGATCTAATGTTTAAACATGCCTATTATGAACCTAGGGGTTTCGGGTTTCAAACAAAATGTTTCGCAGTTTTTTCCTTTTACCTAAACAAGGAAAAAACAAATGCATTTTGAGTGTACCTAAAGAACCAAGCCATCGCTCCCTCAGACTATTTTAATCTCGCAAAATTCCTCTTAATTTGTTGTGCAAACTTTTCTACAAGAAATCTTGCTCCGATGCATCAAGTGTAGCTTATTTTCTGAAAGGAAATTTTATTTCCATGGTAAGGAGGTTTTTTGATTATTCAAGTAGTTTTCATATTACCTGGGAAAAACCGGGATAAAACGTCGAGAAAAACGGAAATTGTACGAAATGTAGGTATTTGTAAACAAATATTTCGGCCTTCTTTTTCCTGTGAACTTTTTCACTATCAAATTTGATCCGATTTACAATGATAGCACTCTTTTTGAAATTAAATCTGACTAGGGAAGTACTTTAGGGTGTTCATTTTTCGATTTTACCAAAAGTTTTCCCAGCTGATGTAAAAAACCGGGGGAAAAAATGGGAAAATAGGTACAATATTAAACAAATATTATTAAAAAAAATATACAATACCTAATTAATTATTTTACCATAATATTACATATATATATACATACAAAGCATCAATATTAACTGAACTGCGCTCAGAATCGTTTTTTCGTTAGCAATGGTTTATCGTTGCTTACTAGTATACATTAAATTACCTATAACAGTATGTGCACCCATCTAAATTATCCTAGGACGTCTTTTTTTAACTTTAAAATATGTGACTCAAATGTTTAATAGTTAGATAAATTACATGTGAAAACTCCCTAGTTTTTTTTTTCTAAACAAAATTATAAACATAAGTACCTACGTAATTATTGTTTTTTTTCCACTCAGGGTTTTTCAGCCTATTTTTTTTCATTAACAGAGTGTAATTTAAAAATCGCGTAAGTTTATTTAATTATTCTTCACTAGGCCGTACCTACGATTATTTGCTCATCTTCGATTTGTTATGTAATTATATATTAGGTACCTACGGAGAAAAATAAGTATTCATCGCCATTAACATCCTACCTATAAAATTTCAGGGTTAACAAGATAAAAATGATTTAAAATTATACATTTAAATTGTTGTTGTTTAATAAACTCCGATTTCCTCTATTAAAAAAAAAAATAAATAAAAACACCATACTAATGCTAAAATATTATAATAATGTATAATTTATCAAGATAATATATACATTTGTATATAGACTTTATATTTTCAATATATCACATTATAAGTCGTTCGAGTAAAAAAAATAATGATTTTATGTTACATAAATTATTGCGTAGTATTAGGTCATATAAATTAAAAACGGACAAAAAAAAATGTTGCATTTTTAAAATTTAAATGTGTACAGGTGATGATTAGAAATGAATATTGTTCTATATTATGTGTAAAACAAAACCAATAAAATTGGTAGGTACCTATCTAGTTGGTTACATAAACACCGTCGACCTATTAAAATTATTTTTTATTACATAAACGTTTAAACAGTAGGTTTAAATATACAATGTAAAAAAAAAAGTTTTATAATCGGGTCTATTGTTTTTGTAGTGCTATTAATACCTACCTGTTAGTGGGCGCAAACATTAAAGACAATAACAGAAAACATAATATGTTGGAAACACGTTTCGGAAATCGAAACAAAACGGCGGTTATCATGACCAGGCACGTAGCCAGGCAAAATTTTTTTTTGGGGGTTGGGGGATCACCAACTACTAATAGTTCCAATACGAATGTTTGGTGAGAAGCTTAAATTTCGAGGAGGAGGAGGGTCAGTACCTCATAGCCCCCCTGGCTGAGTGTCTGATCATAACAGCACACTTTCAGAAAAAGTCGTTCAATTCCGCACACGTTTTAATCTAATGTTAACCTGTCACTGGTTCATTACCGAATTGCATACTATTTTTGGTTGCGAAGGATAAATAAATTCCAGAACTCAAAATAATATTATAATTGTTTACTATATAATTATATTTAATATGTTAATACTTAAGATATTATAATTGTGTGTATTAGTTTAAGTACAATATATAATATATAATATTTTGTCTTTTTTGTTTTTCTAAATTATTATGAAAAATACTTTAAATATCAAAAAACAACTTGCTCTGTTAGGATAATATTTATAATTTTCTTTCGGTTTTTCCAATTATTTCAAAAATCTCTAAAGAAATCAAATAATCTGTTCAATGCACAAACTAGAGAAAATAACCTTTCAGAAAAGATTCTATAGTCTATAGTTCGAAGCAAATTTTCTGATAGAAAAGTTGTTCACAGACATAAAAGAAACACACATCATTGTAAAGCTAATAGATCCCTCGCTACGATCCGAATATAAAAAAATTCAAGTTCACTAAAAAAATGGTCGGAGTGGTAATAGTGATTATCTTATTATGAAAATAGGTATTTCATAAAGCTATTGATAAACACGAACCAGTTGTGTACTTCGGATACTTGTAATTAATATACTTGGCAATTCCCGAGTTGTTACGAACATTTCGCAATTGACAGTAGAAATATTTCGTATAAATTTGATAACATAACTTATCTGGAGAAACTTGTAGTGTAGACATCTGCGAATAATCTCGAAGGTTTTATTTTTACGAATTTGCGAATTCGATTAACTGGAGTGTGGTTCTAATATTCTAATAATAATCTGATTATAGATGAACGTATGCGTTATTATTCGTACGACCGCCGAATTTTATTGAGTAAATCAAAAGTTTACGGTTCTGAACGGTCGACCCTTTAAGAATACCTACTAAACAATAGAAAATTGTACTGAAATGACATATAGAAAGTGTGCGGTTATGAACGACGGCGTCCAGAATATACGTATATATATATAAAATATACACGGCTGAAAAACATAGGTAATAAAGTTTCGTAAATTCAACCGAAAGGAGAGAATAAGTAGCCGAATAAAGGCCAGTGAGAAGAATGCAGAAATTGATGAATTACAACAAGACCTACAGCGAAGTTGAAATTTACAGTAGGTAGCGATTAAAACGGTTACAGAGTCGTAAGGCATATAATACGATGATGAAATTCGACTGAAAGTTTAAACGGATCAAAAGAAGAGCAAAGAAAATATTTGTGATATTTATAATGCTGGGTCAAAGACTAAATTGTGCTGAATTAAAATTATAATACAGGATGTCAATGTAAATGTATACATTTTTAAAGTTCAAAGAAAAGTACCTATAATTATTCAGCAGGTTTTAATCGTATTCACTATTGATTATTATTATTACTATGGTGGCTAATTAACAATACACTTTTTTCTCTACATTTTAAGATTATTAAAAATCAAGAATTTAAAGAAAATAAACAGTTAAAACATCAAAATTTTCAGCAGAATAAACGGTACAAAATAACTTAAAATATCTTAAACAATTTCGAAAATAATGAAATAAAAAGTAATTTTTTTAATTTTTTTAACATGAAACTTGAAATCAAATATAAATATATGTACTCCTTATCTTTACGAGTATTGTTTTTTTTTTAAAAAAAAATTTTGATTATTTTAGATTCTAATTGTATAGCGACGAAGAATGTATTGGTTTTACAAAGACATTCACTTTTTTTTATGTGAACACTTTTTCCACCAGAAAGCTTACTCCAATGTATACGATGTAGACCCTTTTCTGAAAGGAAATTTTCTTGAGGTGGTACTTTAAGGATGTAATTTTTTGATTTTTCAGGAGTTTTCTCAACAAATGAAAAAAACCAGAAATAAACGGAGAAAAAGCGGGAAAATTTACGAAATTTAGGTATTAGTTGAAAAATATTTTGGCATTTTTTATCCTGTGAACAACTTTTTATCAGCGATTTTACTCTGAATTATCAAGATAGCACTTTTTTTGAAAGGAAATCTAACTGAAGAAGTACTTTAAGGAGGACATATTTCGATTTTCCCATGAGTTTTCCCAGCAAACGGAAAACCGTGAAAAACTTGGAAAAATTGGTACAATTCATTATTTTACCATATGACAAAGCACCACTATATTAACTGAATTCCGCTCAGAATCGGTGTTTTGTTAGCAATGATTTACCGTTGCTTACAGATATACATTAAATTCCTTTCTGTATCCTACCTTCCTAACTTCCCACCTACAACAATGGCTGCACTCACGTGCGAAGTATATCAGTCTTTTTATTATCTCAGGAGATATTGCATTGGATATATCTTCGTGGAATACCCTGTATACTAATAATACACAATCGTTATTTTTATGTTCCGTTACTAAATGAAAAAACAGCAAAGATATTTTCGTCACACAAATATCTATAGTCTGCAATAATCATCAAGCACTGCAGTACAGTACCTAGAAAGCCAGTATATAATCAGAGAGTGTATTGCAGATCAACTATAGGCAAACGTTATTTATTGGCGAATTTTCTAATGCTTTACCGTAATGGTTCTCAATCGGGGTGACATGTTTCACTTGGGTGACATGAACCCAGTGTAGAAGTGACACGAAATCATCGGGGAAAAGAAAAAAAAAATAAGAGAACTTTTTAATTTTTAGAATAAAATCGTATATTGACGTCGCCGTCATGTATCCACTAATACAATTTCTTATTATATCAATGGATTATGCATTGGTAGAGCGAATAAGTAATGGATTATTGTGAATAAATGTGACATGACTCAGTAAAGGTTGAGAATCACTGCTCTACCGTGTAAATGCCATGTATGTATCGCTATAGTCTATTGCCCATTTTTTCTTTTTTCAGGAGTTTCAACTTTTAAGAGTATTATTAATTGCTGGCCAGCAAATTTTTTACAATACAGCACTATTCATCGCAGTTTGGGAATACATTTTAGGTTTTTTAAACTGAAAAAAATCATTATAGTAGCCCTAACGAAAAACGGCCGCTGGCCCTACTATAGTCGCCATTTCTATATCTGGGCCATAGTTAGACTAGATTTTCGGGGGAAGTAAATTGAATCGTCTATTATGTTCGTTACAAACATGGTAATATATTAGCATTTAGCATGAAAATGATAAATAATTTTTTTTAAACAAATATCGAGGGGAGTGGAAGGAGGATTGAACCATTTGAATCACTCATTGCAGATATGGCATTGACTCGTATATTATTAAACTGTGTAATCGCAAAATGACGAGGCCAATTAACCGCTGATAAGAACAGTTAAGTTGTCCGCTCTGTTTTTAGATATTATACTCTCTAGCACAGCGGTTCTCAAACTGTGGAAAGCGGAAAGCTCGTTGGTGGTACATAAAAAAATTGTTTTGCTGTGTAAAAAAAAAGTCAAAAGTTATCATGTAGTTTATTAATCTATAAATAACAATAAAAATAATAACTATATAAATATTCCATTTTAATTGTGTGCATTAAATTTTTAAAATAATGTATAGTTTTTAAAACATAAAAGGTTCCATACATGTAAAATAACGTGTGGGTAAATATTATTTTCTGTTAAGTAAAAACAAAACGAAGAAATAGACAAAATAAAAATTAGGTCAAGTAGTCTACGTGAAAAATTCAAAACGTATAAGTGGTGCGCTGACATAAAAAGGTTGGGAACCTAGCAGGTCTAGCGGATACATAGAAATAATTTATGTTCGCAATTATTAATACTTTAATGATGGGCCGGTAAAAAAAAAAACTGTAGATTTATAAACCACATAGCGAACAATTGTATGCAAATTATTTATTAATAACTATGCCAGTTTGCCGAGCCGATAAAACGGTTGTCGCAACGATTGTCAAAAATCAACAGGGTTTGCCATAATTTTACTGCGAACACAGCATATTATTACATGTACTTAGGTAATCCCGAACGGGGTTGAATAGAACATTTTTTGAACAGATTTAAATCAAATTTTATTAACGTGTAACTACGAAATAGTATACAACTCAATTTTTACCTACGTGTTTACAACGATTTATACCATAGATTTAAACTTAAAACGGATCAGTAAAAAAAAAAAAAATATGACCACGGATTTGCGATACATTATATTATGTATATATTATTAGTACTGTATAAGAATAACTCATGAAAAACCTCGAATCAAAATGTTCGAAGCATTTACACGAAGCTAAACAAATTGTACATACTTGAACTTATTATACACTTAAAAAACCTCGAAGAATTCTAAAAGGTATAAATAATTCAAACCGTGATAGAATATTTCGTAAATTAAAGCACGTCTAAAATATGCTAATATAATTAGTATTCAGTGAGAATGTCCAGTTCTCTGCGATTATTTCTCAACGAATCGCAGCAACGAGAAAACAAAACCGATTTGAAATATTGTTCAGTAAAGTATTCACGTTGTTCCGACGGGTTCTCCCATTTTTCAAGAAACGGGCAGGGAAAATAAAAATAATCAATCGACATAACGAAATTCCGGAAGAATATCAAATTCCCCCGGATCGTAGTAACGATAACACAACAAAATGCTCTCTCTCGAAAGAAAAAATACCAACTTACTTATCAAATTTAAACTTACATATATATATACGGATTTAATGCTATCGTCAAATTAAAAGCACTGGATCACGACGACAGACTAAATATTCGACTTTTTTTTACTTCAAAATCTTTCAGAAACCATCCCGAAGTCGAAGATCGGAGCGAGTATTCCGAGGTCGGAAACGGGCAAAAACCTACGTCGTAATAAATGTTACTGTAAAAATAATATACGTTTTCTCAGAATCTAAATATATCAAAACTCGTTTTCGACATAATATTATTACGATATGACTGTAACTCTTAATATATTAAATAATATTAAAATACTACCGCCATCAAAAAAAAAAATAAAGGTTGAGACTGCTGATGGGTGTGCCACTGTTTTAGGAGGGAATTGGATGGAAGAGGATAAAGGCAATATAATTCATATTTGTACGCAACGATAAACTATTGCTGACAAACAACGATTCTAGGTGGAGAATTATGAGCGGTATTTTTTCCCCCTGTTGCCAAGGTTACCCAGTAGTTAACAAATCGTAAACACATAATGTCCAGTTTTTCCTCTAATTTATTAAGGAAATTACACGAAAAATCAAAAAATTACCTCCTAAATGCACCAACCTATAAAGTTTTTGATTGAAACACGCATAAAAAAAAAAAAAAAAAACATTATGGTAAAACTAGGTAATAATATATTCCTCGCTTCGCTCAGAATTTAAAACAATACTTCGTCGGCGAACAAAAGTTATATTCGATTCGATTGTTTATTCACGTGGAAAACAGTTTACGTACCATATTCTTATATACTACTATCTATTTTTTATTTACTATTATAGTCCTTACACGTTTGCAAAACAAACATCAGTCTAATATACGCGCGTTGTTTAAATTGTATGCAAATATACTCGCGTTATGCGTCCGGTATATTACAAGTACAATTTAATGAACATAATTTCGTATCGGACAAAAGCCGCGACGTAAAGAAAAAAAAAACGCGGACGATTAACGATCCAGTGGCGTAGTTATGAAGGTCGGATAAATCCACTCCCAGAGTCTTTTTTTAATGTTGTGTAATGCGCCTTAGTAAACCTATTTGGAAAAGGTATAACATATACTTTGTATTTCAAATACATATATAAATAGTATCGCCGGGCGAAAAATCCGCATCTTTTAAGGCATGTATGATGCGAATTATTATGCTTAACACCTGAAAAAGTAATACCCGAGAAAAAAGCCATAGGAGTAAACTTTTGAAAATTTAAAAAAGTGTGTCCTTTAGGGTGCCTATACTGCGTGAAAAAGCCGGAATATTCCCTCACCGAAAAAGTGTTTTTAGAATAAAAATCAAAAGTAAATTTCGAAAATTTGTTCGAACAAAGTACTGTCAGTACTGAAAAATTCGAATCTTTCATGGTACGGCACGAAAAGAAAGGGTCAATTTTGCCAACTGAAAAAGTTTTCTCAGAAAGGAAAAAAAACACGTCTTAGTAAAACGAATAACTTCTTCGTTACACTCGGAATTTAAAACAAATCTGTAGGAGGGGAGGCCTCACACGACGTTAACCTAACAAATTATCCATGCCCCTCTTCAGAAAAAAACAATCAGAATTACGCCACTGAAACGATTTATAATTTATATAGATATATTCTTATACCTATATTATAATACAGCGTCCGACGACGTTTAGACCACGTATTTTTAATTTTTATTTTATGCAAACTCTTGGCAGGCAATTAGTATATCTATTTTTTTATAACGACGAACGGATTTTGTTATAATTTTTTTTTTTAGTGCATAAATCGCATTCACGGAAACCATGCATTTTTTTAAGAAATATGAATAAACACAATATTGTTATTAGTTTTTTTTCCCACAATATTCGGTGTTCTTTTCTGTTTTTCTAACACGAAAAGAAACAAGTACCCATCGCGTACAGACTGCACGTGATACGAGTATACCTACACATTGTTATAAAAAAACTGAAACGGATTCCGTACACAATTCAAAATAGGATTAGGAACGGTGACACGAGTCACCTATATACATAGATACTGCAGATTATTATATAACAAGAAGTTAATTTTTACGTATAGAAGTATACGACCGTTTTTTTTTTTTATGTTTTTTTTTTCGCATTATTCGATTACCTATGTAACGCATATCGCGAACAAATAACGAAGATCTTCGACACGACGTCAATTTTATTGGATCGAACCGGAGAAAAAAAAAACCCCGATAAAATTATAATCTCATCGTATCCGGGAATTTTTGTTAATTCTATAGATACAAAAATACTACATAAGTACCATATACACATAAGTACCATAAGTATTATATAGACACTCGGATAATAATTTATAGTTTTTTTTTTTTTTAAGACAATATACGAATATAATACATATCCTGTACATAATAACAATTCTGTATATACGCAAGAATTATTGCAGTGTGTTTCCATATAAATCGTGAAAATAAAAAAATATGAACATAATCTAATAGGTACGGGTATAGTAAACGAACGAACCTTGATTCGTCGGCCTTGGCCCGTGCGACATTCGGGTATACGTACACCTATCATCATCATCTGCGGTAGGATATCGGAATGCCGATTAAGTGTAAAAAAAAAAAAAAAATAATAAAAAATACTACATTATATAAGAGAATGAAAAAAATAAACGCCAAGATTTAATAAATAAGAATAACAATAATACGCACGGTGATGAGCCAACGCTCGGGAAGAAACGGATCAGAAGGATCATATTGGAATTTCGTGCGTTTGTCGGAGGGTCACTATAACGAGTGTTTTTCGTTGACGTGGTCTGTCTACAATTTTAATGATCCCCTAAACGCGTTTGGGCGTCCGCGGGATTCGATAACATACGTATATTAACATGTAATAAAAAAAAAAAAAAACAAGTACAAATACCAATGATTCGTGAAACGAAAAACGGTCTTTTATTAGGGACGCGTCCGGACGTGGAAATTATACACGGTTCCGTTTCGACGCGGGAACCGCGGTTCGTTTTCAAAAGAAACTTTCCGGGCGCCGAATCAACGGCCAAACCCTTAAAAATATACCCACGTTTCTATACAACTACTATACACGTACAATATGCCGCGATAGGTACGAATAAAACTTACGGGGGTGTAGCAGGCTTTGTATTCCGGCGCGGATCTCCAATGCTGAAAACGGCGGACGAGTTCGTCGTCGAGCGGTTTTGATGACGGGCCGTATTTTCGCGGAGCCATAATTGCGACGATTTATTTTATTTTTTTGATTGTACAACAAGAGTTAATCGTTTTAAACGCGAAAAGTAGATTATTGTTTTGAAGCCGTGACGATACCGAAGGTAAACATTGTTTTCCGGCACGGCGGTAGGCTAATAGTATACATATAAATTCGACGAATCAATCGGCCGGCAAAACAAAAATAAATAACATTATCGTCGATTAAAAGGCGCGAACAAAAAATTACAATTTGATTTGGTTTGGTTTTTTTTTTTTTTATAACCACGCAGGTATACGTTTATTACGTTACTGAAACCGTCCAATAATATATTGCGTATACTGTAACAATATGCAACGGGTTAACCGCGTCTAACCGACATGCAAAACACGAGCAACCGGCACTTGTTGGGATTCGGCGTTTTTTACGTGCCCGATGTTCCCGATTCGTCGTGACATGTCGCGCAATAATTGTCGAACGTGTCGGGTGTACAAGAGGAAGACGCAGTTATCGTGCGATTATTTGAATTCTGAGCGCGCGTCCGTTAAAAATATCGTGTCGCGGGAATCGGGAGTCGCGTTTATCGACCGCGACCGTTGAAATATTATCGCGAGCTTTTCGTATTAAACCGAATCGTTTACGAAAACTTTCGAGTACGATACGCGCGTGAATTAGACGTCGTCTACAATAATATTGACACGCGGAGATCGAGCCGTTTTGGTCGTCCGTTCGAGAAAACGCGGATAAAATTCGGTATATTTAAAGGCGTAAAAAAATAAACAATGATCTAAAAACCGTTTATAATATTGTGTGATAGTTAGGACATATTTTTTTTTTTTTTTTCGAAAAAATATTAAACGGCGTTCGCGAGTGAAACGGGGGGCCGGGAAGGAAAAAAAACACCGTACACGTTCGACAAAAAAAAAACGAAAAATCCTTATACCAATTAAAAAACGACCAGGTTCCCTGGTTTATTGTATTGGGTGTAAAAAAAACGCGTATTTCCAGAGCGCGGACGAACGGACAACACGCACACACACTCGTCGCGGTGACGACTGCTGAAACGGATTGCGCGTACCGAAAACTCGCCTCTCGGTCCATTACGATAATAATAATTTATACGGGGCGATCGAAACGTAACACGCGCTCAACGATTATTGTAAATTATCGGCTTTTTCGTTTTTCAGAACGTCCGCGGAGACCACACGGGCAGTCTTACAGAAAAAAAAAAAGAAAGTAAAACCCGTTACATCACCGTCGTTTTTCATCGCTCTCGGGGTTTTTTGGGGGGAAGGGGACGGTGAGACCGTCGAAGACTTTTGATTTTCGAACGGCACGTTGAGAGATATTCCCCTTTTAAGATTCGGGTAGTATAGGAGAGTATATAATAGTGGAGCTGACAGCGGCCGCGATCAGGATTTTTCGAAGGGCGGTGTCACACGTCTCCATGAAAAAAATTACCTAAACACGGATGTAGGGAGGGGTGTCTAACCACCCAAAAACATCCTCCCTGATTTCGACACCCCGGTGGAGCATAATTATAGTATCACGACGTTTAAGTGTAGGCAGTGTACTACAACTGTCCCCCTAGCGGCCAACTCGAAATCGGAATATCTCGTCGCGACGGGTTGACGAAAATCAAAAATGTCGACGTCAAAATGCGTATGTAAACTAAAACTCCATTTATGAAATATGTTTTGCGATGTACATTCCTATTCGAAAAACAAAAGTAAGTACGTATCTCTAAAATAAGAGCGACTAAAAATAACGGAAACACGGCATTTCGGTGCTACTATTGTCTCTTAAATTTTCCAAAAAAAAAAAAAAAAATGCCATTACTTTCCGGTACAAGGAGTGTCTCGCGTTATGTCAACATAATGTAAAAGTGTGTACAGGATATTCGAACACCCTGTACACAAATATAATACATAACGAGTTATAACGCAATAATTGTCAAGACGGTTTGCGACCACCGACTGCTTGGACGGTGCAGCGCGTTCACATAATACGAGAAACGCGATAACCGCGACTATATGCAAAACAAGCTGAACCGTGATTATTAACCGGGTCATTAGCAGGTAGGTACCCCGTAATAATACGATACGGGTTTAGAGAAAATTAGAAGGAATAAAAAAAAAAAATGCCGTGTACAGTCGGATTAAATGACTGTGTAAGGTATAAGCAGATTAACGGAGCGAAGAGCTTTTCGCGCGGCCAGCCTTCTCTTATTTTTTTATATATAATCGAAATACGGTGTCGCGTTTCATAGTACACACTATATACTTGGCCAATATTTTTTTTCCTTATTTGTATACGGAAAAATATACGCACAAAAATACCGAGCGTACGGATGAAAAAAAAATAAAAAAACAACAAATTAACATACTTGTACACCGCGTCAGAAACGACGGAAGAAAAAAAAAAGCCATTACCTAACACCTGACAGTCCACGACGTTAGTACATTCGCACCACGTAATCTTTTTTCGACCAAACGCAGTTTCTTCGCGTACCACCTACGTATTCATTATTTATTCCCCCCTCCCACCACCCGTTTAAATATTCACTCATTATTATAATTCAATAACGTCGCGGAAACTAAATCGAGAGTTTTTTAATTGAATTTAGGATCCGAGGACAATCGTCAATTCGCCCGTACGAGCCGTGGCGTCAGGAAAATCGATTCGCGTGGGATCGTAAAATTGCGACAGCAGCACGCCGCCGCCCCGAGTACAAATCGAGAAGATTTCGCCGACATTGAAGTCGCGAGTAAGTACCCAAAGCTTTTTTTCTTAATTTAATGCGTATAATAGGTGTTTATTACGCTATAATATAACCGCCGGCGAAAATAATCCGGCACTGTATATTTTAAACCAGAGGTTCCCAGACGTTTTTTTTGAGGCGTATTAATCGTATAAATGCACGCGGGCTTTTACTTAATACCTCTTGTTGACATCTATTTACATCTCATACACCCACAATTTTTGTTTTCATTAATATGGATCCCTTGCAGGTCAGAATATACCCCTCCCACCCCCTTTGGGGACCTTTATTTTAAAAAAGTCAACTATTCGTCGTAATATTGTAGATATAATATAACGCGTAATTCCACGAAGTTATTTTTTTAATAATATATCCAGATTCGCCGAATTCGTAAATTAAATTCTTCGTCGTGATAGTTTTTGATATATTTTTTTCAAGTTTTAAAATATAACTAATTGCAGATAGATTCGAGTTAAATTCAAAATGTCTACGAACCTAATTTAAACCACGTTCCTATCTTCTAAAAATATATAAATAACAACTTTTCAAAATTTTCAAAATTCTATAATCCTAGATCGAATTAGCAATATTTACAAATAACAGATTGATTTGCAATTATAAATTAAATCTTCTGTTGAGGTTTTCTGACTCGGTAATTTAAAAACATTTCAAAATGTTTTCGTTAAATTTTATAAACATTCTAATTTCGATATCATTAAAAGTTTGAGTTTAAAAACCCTGAAGTAGGTAGATAAATAAGGCTTTCTTGTATAAAATTCTGATTAAAGCGATAGAAATGTATTTCTAATTTACTATGTAAGATTTTTTTATTCTGTCTGCAAGTACGTTTTCAACCGGAATACTTACTTCAAATAACCGATTATCACCTAAACAAATTTCATGGGTGTATTCTGGTTAAAAATTTTGTTTAGTTAGTGCATTGCGAGGTCATTTTTTTGATTTTCTTCGTAATTGTCTAATATGGGAAAACCGAAAAAATGAAAATATAACGGAACAAACGGTTCTGACGGTTTTTATTTTTGAATGTAATTCATTGAAAATTAATCGTAAGCATTTTCACCAAATACTTTACTCAGGATTTTTGAGAAGTAGTTATAGTTCTGATTTCCGACATTTGTTTAATTATTTACAGCTATTGGAAATTATTACTTTTTTTTTTTAGTTTTATATGGAAACAGTGTTGTTAGTTTCTCTCATTGGTTATAACCATAAATATAAAAACACCTTTATTGTAATAAATACAAATAGAATAACATTTAACACGGATATGCACTATGTTTTCTTTATAATTTTATTATTAAATTGTCTGATAATATTGTGTAATACCCTTAATATGAAAGAAATGTAAAATATACATACTTTTAATAAATTGTATTTAATCAAGTAGATAAATTAATAAAAATTTAAAACAAACATAATAATATAACATAAAACTGGTTTATAATAATTATTTTCAGAACATGCATATGTTAATGCACACGTATATTAATAGATATTAGTAAAATAGTATATACAATGATAATATTTAACAAATAAATACTTAACTACAATAATGTATATTAGTAACCATTTGATTGATTGTCACATGGAAATATTTGTTTGATATTCTAGATGTGTGCTTATTGTTGCAATGTATATATACATAAAATGGTTCAAAAATAAATATTCATACTACTAGACGGTGCGAATAATTAGAAATTTTGTTTTTTAGAAAATAAGTAGGTAATACAAAACAAATAAAATAACTTTATTAGTGCATACAATTGATTAATACTTTTGCTATTAAACGTTTTAGAAATGTAGGTACCTACATAGACATTTAATTCACCGACAAATAATTTTGAATCATTGAATGATGTATTTAGCAGCTACTTAAATATATAGATTTAATATTATTTTCACCTGTCTCACTATACACAAACCAATACAAACAGTCAAATAATAATTCACTTATTCAAACATATGATCTTGTTTTAAACAAACTTTCAAGGACTTTTATAATTGTTATTCGCTATCTAGCATTTCATTACAATACAACAGGAAGACTATTAAACTTATTTATATTGATTTTAATAGTAAATTAATAAATATTAGGTATTAAAAATATTTTATAAATTCTTAATAAATAGGCAGGTAAGGGTGTGGTAGGTTTAATAGGACTTTTAAAATTCAAAACTTAAGCTACAATTTATTATTTAATATAGTATGTAAGTACCTATTAGTCATATTATAGGTAAATAATTATTTAATTAAAAATATTTCTTACCACAGCGTAGAGACTTCTATGATTCTGATCGTCCATGTTTTGATTTCCTAAACATAAACACAATTTTAAATTAAAGTGATAGAACCGATATTTTAAAATAAACATGAAAAATAATTTTTTTACAACCGAATCCTTATCTAATTTTGTTAGAGATTATAACAAAAGTAGGTAGTGCTGATATACTGTAATATAATAATAGTATGTCATTCTACAAACACAAATAATTGTACCAATACAAATCATTATTCTTTTTTTAATTGAATATACGCTGAAACAGAAAAACGAAATCAATTATCCGATAATAAATCAGACGGACATTACAAAAATTGAATTTTGAATTAGACTTAAATCGGTATATAAAAAATATATTGGATACAAAAGTAACACACTGAAAGCAAGTTAGTTATTTTTATAACCAATTTAGTGTGAATAGCAAACAAAAAGGGTATTTATTCTTTAAATAGGTATTATAATTTATGATAATATGGAATAGTTAAGTAACTTCAATAACCATTAAATTTAGCTGTACAAAATAACTATAGGTACAGTATTCTCCATATTATCATCAAGTTAATGAGCCAACTTCATGTTCTGAAAGTAAATTATGCATAATTTTACACAATCAAATTTTGAACGAAAACAAAAATTAAAGAATTAAACCTATAAACAAACTTGTCATTAAAACACTAGAATACCGTTCTAAGAGTGTATATTGGTCACTATATAGGTGTAGTTTAATAACGTTGGCAATATGCCAAATAAATTAATTCAGTTACAAAATCTAGAATAATTAATAAATTATATAAGTAGATACCTAACTTATTGCCATAGTAAATAACAGAATAATTTATTAACTAAATTACATATCAATTAAAATAGAGTTTCAACAGACAAATGTCAAATATAAGGTTTTTATTAGATAGAAATGTGTTTTAACAAAGGTGGTATTATTTATTTCAGAAGTTTAAGGCAATTTGAATTTGCTTAGTAAACAATTAAATAACTACCTGTTTTTTTTTTCTTTTATAGCTGTTTAATTTTTAATATATTCAAATGTAAACAACTAAGTATGTCAGTAAATACAATGCAGTAATAAATTGATGATCCATAAAGATTTTTCTAAAATGTATTCAATTAAAATAATATTTTTATAACATTGAATAATACTAAAATTTGTAAAATAACTGGATATCGAGATGGATATTTTTATACTGTCAATTCAGTGGTAACCAGATTGGAACCCGGGGTGTTACCCAGATTTAAAATAATTGTTATTTTCATTAAAAGAAAAAAATGTTCACACCGAATTGTAGATTCGTAGCGTAAAAAAATCTACTTTTTAAAACGCGAGTAATATCATAAGAATAGAAACAATAACAGTATTGGTAATTTAATTTCTGACCATGCACTTTTTAACCAGTTGCGAAAAGTTCAATGTTCACGATCAGTGATACAGAGAAAGAAAGAGAAAAAAAAACTCCGTTTAATTGTCAATACGACAATACCTACAATAAATTATTATGGGAAATACAAAATGTTGAAAAATACTATATTATTGTTAAAATATTTGCGCTAAATTATATATATTGGGGGCTGTTGAGATTGCCGAGAGGCGGCCGAGTATAATGAATTTCGTACGAAACCCGAATTCGTATTTTTCAAATATCTACCGTCACTGTGCACCGAAGTACTTTAGACGGTTCGTCAACCGCGAACGAAACGCGTAGATAAGAGGCGAACAAAAGATATACATTCCCATTTTTGGTTATCGTTTTCATGACTAACCGCCGATTATCGATTTGAATTATCGCGAAAACGCAGTATTATTTATCTATATCGGAGTGCGAGTGAACCGGTTTCGAGACCGCAGACGAGCTGATAAGCGGCCGGACAACACATCGGTTATTATTATACTGGTAAACAGTGGCGGCGGGTAAGAAGAGGGCAGCAGACGGTCGAGAAAAACCGCCGGATGTCCACGAAAGTTTAAAAATAAAAATGCGCGGACTTTTGTGAAGGGTCGGCGGACGGCAGAAAGTCGGGGCAGGGGAAAACGGAAAAACCGGAGGACGCGGCCCCGGCGCGTTTCGTTTTGACGAGGCTCGTCGGGTTTTAATATCGCCAGACACCCGGACGGTGCATAATTTAATCGCTGTGTAAACCGAACACGTACCTGCCTCGTGATGATGACGATGACGAGCCGACGTGTTTGTTATGGAATTATGAATTCTCGTCGTCGAACCGTTCCATCGGATATTATTGTGCTACAGTCGTCGTCGCCGCGATTACCGGACGGGCGTATCGTGAGTTTTCACGCGACGGCGTGCAAGAGTACTGCGAAATCGATTGAGAGAAAAAAAACCAAAAAAAATCAGCCGTGAAAAACTCGATAACGTCTCGAATCGAATGCCGCCGCGGCCGTGTACGCGCGGCTATTGCACAACAACAAACCGACGTCGGCAGTCGGCGCGCAAATAAAGATTGGAGGAAAAAAAATTCAGAATAATAACAATAATAATAACGATAATGTTGATAAAATATATTTCTTATCAGCGCCGACCGCGCGGTTCTGATGTTGGGCGCGGCGAATTGATCGATAACGCGACCGGCACGACGTTGGCACCGGATCGCCGTGGTAACGGAAACCTGTTGAACCGGTCGACGGCCACCGTCGGCAAAGTACGGCGCGGCATCAGCAGCAACAGCGGCGGCGGCTCTCGACAACGTGTGCATTTTAATAACGTTAATATTAACGACCTGGGTGTTTTACGAATTACCGTCATTATTATTGTTATTAGTAGTAGGCAGGTACGATACACGCACAGCGTTAAAATATTTCGCGTACGCGATTTATGCAATTATGCAAATAGACCGCGTTGTATATAGTAATTTTTTTTTTTTTTACCACTCTAATAATATTATAATAATAATTCAGTCTACCGGACGTTTGAATTGTTCGCGAGTGAATCGCATTCACCTAAAACGCGCGCGACGATCGGTTTCAGAGTCCGAGTTTCAGTTTGTCGCGATGCGGGGACCGGGCGAACGGTATTTTTTTTCTCTTTTCTTCGCACGACAAGTTGTTTAGTTTTCCCTCTCTCGGACCGTCGATCCACAGGCACGTCGATGTTTGCCTGTGCCGCGTGCGCCAGAATCGCGACGGACGTTTGACCTTAACCGTAGTATATTTACAGCTCTATACAAATAATGACTTGTTTTTTTTTTCCGTTTAGCTTCGCAAGCCACGTAGGCTTTTTTCCGAGTCCGTGTAACTAAGCATTTCTCTGTTTTATGACATTGTCCAGTCCAACTCCCCGCGCTATCCGTCTCCCGCGTGACCAGACTACACCGCAAACGTGACCCGGTTACGTTTGTGTCCGAGGGCGAAGGACACATTTTTTATCAAATATTGTTACCGGTGCCGTCTCTCCCCTTTGATAATATACCATGTTAATATGAAGTATAGGTGTGTTGTGAGCAGTAGCGTACGCAGAATTTTTCTTCGGTTAGACCCATCCCCTCTCCCCCACCGGTTTATAGCTGATCTAGTAAATAACACCAATATTTACACTCAAAATAATTCTTCCAAATTCCTAATTTTATATTAATTGTCTTAACACATAAATCTTGTAGGTACTTAATTTGATAACTATAACATTTTTTTTAGTAATAAAATAAAGTGTTTGGTAATAGCGTATCATATTACTATAAAAAAAATAATGAAATAACTAAACAATATTCTTTAAAACTGTAAAAGTAACTATTTTATATTTATTTTAAATCAATTTAATAATAGCATGATTATTAAAGCCAGAGCCTGATCGTGGAATTCAACTTCAGTAATTACTTTCTTCCATTGAAACTGTATTGCAAACAAATGAGTACAAAATTCCAAACAAAAAGCAGTTTTTACAATAACAAATTAAAAAAACTGGCAAGATAGATTTAAAAATAAAAATCATCATAATATCAATACATTCCTCGTTTTACTCGGAATCTAAAATATTTATTAGACTTTAGCCTGTAGGTGTGTATATTACATATTCTTGAGTATTAATCTATAGAACAAGATAATTTTATGTTGATGAAAGTAGTTATTATACTGACTTCAATAACTTAATCCATTTGAGCCTAAGCATTCTAGTTGTAGATAACATAAAAATTTACAACCGTTTTTTTCACTATAATTTTGGCAATTCAATGCTCAGCATTGCGTTTTGTAATCAAGAACTTATTAACTATATAACATATTGAAATCAAAAAAATGTTTAAGAAGTTTTATTTTAACCTAACTATGACGAATGTCTTCACAATAATTTCCCGCTGAATTAAATTTATTTGTTTATTTAAAATTCTATTGAATTTTCAATACTAAAATAACGTTATTATGGATTACAGATCTCGAGTACATCATAAGATTCTAAAAGATCATTTTAATTATGTTTACTTTCAATAAAATTAAAAAATCTACAATGCTATAAATATAGGGACATTGGTTTGTTTGTATCCTGATGTGTAATCTCAAAACATTGTTATCACTAATTTCGCGTATTATGAATATGAATCTAATAACAAACATTTGTTAATAGCTCTGTTGTCTATGGTGTAAAGTATAAACCGTGATAGAGTAACTAGACTAATTATTACTCTGTGATGTAAACCTCGGTTGTAGGCATAGACCTTCTATTTACAACCGTGGTGTTAACATTATCAGTGTCACAAATGGCGACGGTACTTCAGTGATAATGTCGAGTCAGCTAGTTGTTTGTTCAAAATACCATAGACATAATATTTAAGAAATGTAACTTTCTATTAGGTCATGTAAGTCAAACGATAACTTGCGTGCAAATCTAAAATCACCGGACGGGAAACGGGTTTTCAAATCCACGAATGGATAGAATAAGATATATAGGGTACACAATGACACTTATCAATTGTTATACGAAACTTCTTCGTTCTTGAACTAACAGCTAGCGCTTGAATGTGATTGTGGCGAATTTTTTACTATATAATGGCTCTTGAAAAGCGAGTGCTAAAAACTCCAGTGGCAATTTTTGATTAGGGCTAGATCATGTATATCAAGAATTAAATACTTATTGCCACTTGCCAGTACATACTACTTTAACTGTTCATGATCTCTTTGGTAAATTATAGATTTAATTAAATCAAATAACATCAGAATTAATAAATACATTTATTAGGTACAAATATGTATTATTTGACGAATTTGATAACTAGCTTAAAACCTTCTCCTCGTTATACTATATCATTAAAAAAAAAAAACCGCATGACGATTGAATAAGTAGTTTTGAAGTCAATCCGTAACAATATTTAAAAATATTATCGATCGATAACACCGACTTCTCCCAATATCGAAGTGACAGTGGTTTTTTTTTTTCATCTATGGGACCATTAATACAGAAACTTCAAAAAACGCTCCTGTGGCTATGGTGTACCAGGTTAACACTGCGCGTGATTTTTTAAACATTCTTCGCTTGCTGCTCTCTTTAGTAATCTACCGTGCATTTACGCCATTCATGTCGAACCCATTTCAGCCTTGCGCTTTTGGACTACGTTTTCCTTTTTGTACAATATTTATTTATCCGAATATAATAGTTATGGTTTCCCACATCATATCTTGAGTATTATAAATTGGATTAAAAATTTCCCTTAGTCGGTTAGGTTAAGCTTCCTCTTCAATGATCTAAATTTTTCTGCATCACCCATCGTAATGGCTCATGGGACACCTACATATTTGAAGACTGGTCATGTCCTCGCAGTAAAATGGTCAAATGTATTTGAAAACCCGAAAGAGTATATTACAGGTATTAATTGAGCAGATATATATTATGTACCGATCTCGCAGAGTACACTGCAATTATTTTGACGATATTATACCTGATAAGTGATAACTGCAGTAAAACCGGCCATTTCGGCGCAACTGTATAATATTACAATAAATATTATCTTATGCGAGTAATTCATGCAAAGCCATCGCCAAAATATGATATGATCGCCCCCCCCCCATTCACTGATTTCGCATTACAGTGGCATAATATTATAAGTACCGGTTTTGCGATTATGTATTTATCTTTACAGGTACATCGCGTTTATGCCGTAAAGCTTACTAAACTGGCGTGTCCAGAAGGAGGAGGTTAGGAGTTTTATTACTCCTCCTCCATTGACTTAAAAATACAATGACTATGAGTGTATGTTTTGTAATTTAATCTTGAAATTATATAATATTTTAACCGAGTTCTCAGATGAAAACAAGGTCGATTTATTGAATACGAATGGGATTCGGCTAAATATTTGTCTCGTAGTCTGCTTAATTATATAACAGTAAAAAATTCTACGGTACATGATTATTGTTTACTGTATTTCTTCTCATTAAACATTCCCGGGCACGCCACCGAAAGCTTGTAACTTGTAAACAGAATAATATTATAATATTGTACGCCACCTGCAAGAGTTTCCGAACGTGCGGTTTTATAATCCGCCGAAAGTAATTCGCTAGGTACATATAACTTTATATATCGTTATAATATTATAGACTATCCGTTTAAAACATTCCGAACGTTTCCCATTGATGTTTTCTCTTTCGTTTGAAATAAATCACGATTTATAGTTCGTTCCGTACATATACATAATATATATGTACCAAATGTTTTTTTTTTTAGGCGAGTATGAGTATTGAATATACCTAACTTAGTTATATCGAAGAAAGTTGCGCGCAACACACGTTTTTGTTTTATTTTTTTACCCGCTCGAAAGATCACTTTCTCGTGACGACCACAACTCTGGCAGTGTATCAGATTGCAATATGTTGCCTGCAGTACAAAGATATTTACATCGCGTTCCAATTATTATTATTATACGATAGATTATAATAATTTAACTATATAATATAAAATGAACGTTTTTTTTTTCAGGTTTAAGACAAGCGTCAAACCACGCCCGACCGGCCTGTATAAAGAAAAGTTTAAGTATTAAGCTATAAGCATAATTCCATGTTCGGTGTAATTAAATTATCAGAAACATATAAATATTGCAACTCTGAAAACGTTTAATAGTTTTATTTTTTCTAAGTTCACACTATACATTCCTATACAAGAAAGTTCCTAATTATCGTGAGTATCATGTTAATAATTAAACATACCATCCTATTTTAAATTCTGAGTGTAGCGAAGAATGTATTGGTTTTACAAAGATGTTTATTTTTTTATACTGCAGTACATGTGTATAACAATTTTACCAGAAATCTTGTTCCGAAGTGTAGCACCTTTTCTGAAAAGGAATTTTTTAGGGTGATACTTTGAGGTCATCATTTTTTGATTTTCCCAGAGTTTTTCTTAATAAATGGGAAAAATCGAAAAAAACGAAGGAAAAACGGGAAAATTTATGAAGTCAATGTTTTTTTTATTTTAATTCAGTGAAAAATATCCGTAGAGACTTGAAATTTCGATAAAACTTTATATTTACCTTTTCTAAACGTGATACAATTTTCAAAACATTCAAGCCATTTTTACGCTATTGCACACTTTAATTTTGCTAGTTTTTTACATTATTGTTATTCGGTGGGTACTTTGAGTATAAAATTGTTTTATCAAACAGAAATGCTTGAAAGTTTAATAGGAAATTCATTATAAGTTGTACTTACCTAGTGATTAACAAGGAAAAGTCGAGTTTAATGTAATAATTTATTTTTTTATTTTTTTTATAAGAATTTTATTATAAAATTTTGACGAAAATCGAACTCCACTCAAAATAGTTTTTCTCTAGCAATAAATTAATCGTTTCATACAGATATACATTAAATTTCCCGTTTATACCTGCCTAACTTCTCACCTACAAAGACGGTCCATCGTGCAAAGTATGTCCATTTGTTTTTTAATTTAATTTTTTGTTTGTTTTATATACGTATGGTCGAAACGTTGTGTATTATGACGTAATTTTCAAATTCGATATCTCCTTCCTAGAAACGATCTTAAAAAGCGCCGCCGATATTATAGTTGTAGACCTGTTTGTGGCGCACAAAAACAACACATATACGTACAACAACGAATACGTATTACAATATGATAATATTATTGTTATTGTGTTATAATAATATATGCTTGAACAGACAACTGTTCGATTATGTCGTCGATCGGAGAAGTATGTATGAGTATTTACGACCATTTGTGACGGACGCTGTACGCGCGGGTAAACAAAAGTATAATCACATTGTTTAATCGATCATAATTTATAGTATTGTATTATTACGGCTTTCTATCTATTTCACTCTCTCGAGTATGTACTTACATATTGACGTGTTAAACACGCGTAACGAGTAATAATAAGGCATAAAATATTGTATGGCGTCTCGTATGATAATATTATGCATAGTAGCTGATTGATCGCATTGGTTTATTATATCCATGTCGAGAATAATTTTGTTTTGTTATTAATTGTCCAGCCGTCGACGAAAGCCGTTTTACTCATTTAACCGAAGACGTCGTGTTGTAATTTTTCGATTTTCATTGTGTTACGATGATAATTAATAGTATATTTCGTATCGTTGTTTAACGTCTAATACATCGTGTGTATTAATACAAATTACAATCGTAAATCATCGCCTGTTGTTTGTTATTTTAGATTCTGAGATGAACGAAGAATGTATTGGTGTTACAATGAAAGCACATTTTCTGAAAGAAATCTAACTGTGGTGGTACTTTAGAGAGGTCGTTTTTGGATTTTCTCAGGAATTTTCCTAATAAATGGGAAAAACCGTGAAAACGGAAGAAAAACGGGAAAATGTACGAAATTTTTTAGGAAAATTACGACTTTTTTTTTTCTGTGAACAACTTTACTACCAGAAATTTTTCCCGGATTTTCAAGTATAAGAAAATAGGTACAATATTAAACAAATATAATTGAAGAAAATATATAAAGCATATGCAATTATTTTACCATAAAATATAGATAATACATAACATATGTATTGTTGACAAAGCATCACGATTAATTGATTTTCCCAGAATTTTTCCCAATAAATGGAAAAACCTAATAAAAATGAAGGAAAAACCGGTAAATTTACGAAATTAATGTTTTTGTTATTTTAAAATTTGTTTTTTTATTGTAATTCAGTAAAAAGTATTAATAGACACTTGAAATTTTGACAAAACTTTATATTTGCCTTTTAGAGACGTGATACAATTTTCAAAACATTTAAGCCATTTTTAAGCTATTGCTTCAACAATATTTACAACAATTTTTAAGCACACTTCAATTTTGCGAGTTTTTTACGTAAACGTAAAATCACGTATCATAATTAACTTCCTCTCACGTTTTTCGTTAGCAATAGTTAATTTTTGCGTACATATATATATATAAAATTTTCCCTCTACCTTCCCAACTTCTTACAACAGTGCGCCTCACCCATCGTGTGAAGCATGGGCGTATATTTTTATTACAGGGTGGGGCACTAAAATGGCCAATTTCAGAAATAGATTTTTTCAGTAGTAATTTAGATAAGAATTCTCACTAAACATTATTAGTTCAAAGACAACATGCCATTTAATAAACATGGAACAGTGGAGTGGTGAACAACGTGCTTATGCGATAAAATCGTTTTACAAAAATAATGACAGTTACGTAGCCGCACAGTGTTAATTTTGTCTTCAACTTAATCTTAAACGCCATGATTCGGTACCATCAAAGTAAAGTCTATGCCCAGAAACCTCGAAATATTTGATGAATTAAAAACCAAAATTAAAGAAGAAATCGCCAGTACACCTTTGGAAGTGATACACCGTGTAGTGAAAAATATATGAAGTAGGCTAGAAGAGTACTTGAGAAGAGATGGTCATCATCTTGAGGACATCATTTTTAAAAAATAAATAACAAGTTATGTACTTCAATATAATAAATAATAATTCATTTTTATTTATTTATTTATTTTATAATTTATCTTTGAAAATCGGCCGTTTCAGTGTCCCACTCTATATTATTACATTTGTTTAACTGTGTATCGGACTTTATCCGCGTTACACTACCGTGCAGTCGTGACACGAAATATTTTTACTTTGAATCACCGATTTAATTTCACATTCACTCAACACTACCCAAAAATAGCTTAAAATTTACAATTCTGGGGTATAAACCAAGTTTCCTTGAGGCTTTTTAAAGGAATTTATGAAATGTCTTTATGAAATGATTTTAAATGATTGATTTTAAAAACATAAGAATTTATATTCTATTTCTGAATACCTAGACACCCATGACCTAACCTACTCCACCCGGCTTTTTGTTTATCATGTGATTAAAATATAGCTCTTTCAAGCCGCCACTGCTACCCTTTATCGGGTAAAAATCATAAATATTTTCCGCACCCAGTGCGGTCGCCCATTTACCAAACTCGACGTGAGTATAAATGATGTATTCTCTTAGCTATTTTTGATGGCAGTCGGGACGATATATTTAATAATTTCACATTTATTTTTACTCAACGCACAGTCATTAGATACAAAAAATTATCAAATAAATAACAATGAGAACCCTATTGGTACTGTGACTAAATAAAGCTCACCGGGATTTAGAACTAGAATGGCTTTCATCTGTATACAAAAAAAAATCTTTTTTTACATTTTCAAAATTTTTAAAAATAATAATTTTAAACATATAACTTATATGATAAATTGTTTCTGTAAATGTAAAACGTTGCGTTTTAACCGATATGGGTGGGACAGGCCATAAGCATGAACAAGTAACAAAATTTAAAACGGAGATTATTTTCTTTCGAAGGCTTATGTATCTTTTTTCATTGCCCTAAAAAACAGTTGAACCTATTAAAAAAAAACAAAAACATTAACAAAAATGTATAGGTATACCTAATATAATAATTTATTATTATATTTTGAAGTCATGACATTTAATTTTTGTATAGAAATTGACTGGTCGAATAAATATAAGTTCGTCATGTATTTATTAGGTTAGGTGATGATTTATAAATTAGACAACTCTCTTTATTTTTATCACTTATTAATATTAGTTTTATTTATCTTTGTAACAATTTTAGAAACTTTAGTTATCAATCATCACGGATGTCATTTCGAAATTCTAATATAAAATATAATACCTATTATCATTAGTTACTTACGTAAAATGTATTTCAGTTCATTCTTGAATGTAATATAAAATAACGTGATTTACGATATTATACGAGTATTACGAATACTTGGAATTTGGATACAATAAATATTCATCTTTGCGACTTTACTGATATAATTGAGATGATAATTAAGTATACTGTGAAGACTGTATACATATAATTTGATCAGCTGACTTTGTTTTTAGAGGACGTTGCCCGCTCATATTGAAAGGGTTATGTACAGTTCATTTTCACGTCATTCTTAAATATTTATAAACTCAAAAATATCCGAATTCACATAAAAATCTATTTACAAGACGTAGTTCCATACCGTCAACCTTCATAATTGTTTATTGTGTGATCGTGAAATAAACTAAAAGATATTTTAAAAACTGTTTTGCTTGGGACAACTTTACTTTTTCAAAATATTTACAGCATAGGTATCGATATTTCATAACACACAGGTAAAAATCTGTCTTAAATCTGCTTCTATTAAGAAGCAGATTTAAGGAACATTATAGGAACATTAGTTCCTATAATCAATAGAAATCTATAGAAATTTGTAATGCTAATTTGTTCGATACCTCTTAAACAAATCATAAAATATATTATTATATAAATTTAACGCACGGAATTATCTGTATTTTTTTCCTTAATAGTGCAATTTTGTAATTTGATATTCCATTGTTGTAAACATCTACATTAATTTATGTACTGAGTGATATCAATTATTACAAAACCACGGATAACGTAGGATGGCCATTGAAGGTGAATAAAGAATTTTAAAATATTAAAACAAATTTCTCACTCCGTAAAATAAGTTGTTAATTAAATAAGGTGTTCTTAATACTTTGAAATTCAAATATTTAATATCTATGTATGTATAGGCGAACTTATTATGTATTTATGATTTAAATTTGTTTTTATTATTCATAGATAGATTAAATCAAATAACCAAATATTAACCGAAACATTTTTTTTTTTAATGGCCATAGATGGTGAATCCACACAATATTCATACATACACTCGAAAAACATTACCCTTCTTCGGCAGTAGAGTTTAAAATAAATATTTATAAGCAGATAACTTTAATTATATTTGTGTTATCAAAATTCACTCTACAGCACTGATAAATTTCTTCTAACGTGCTGTAAAAACTTGTTAACTAACACTTTAATATTAAATATATGGAGTCAAGGAGCGATAAAAATTGTACCGCGCGCAATAATTTTTTTTTTTAATACGACGCGTATTGGATAGTGTTCTAATATTTCGATAAATAGTTTAACCAGAGAGCAAATAATAATGAAATAAATTATATACGGAGGAATTATAATATTATTCAAATATATGATTTTTGTAAAACACATAATTTGTCTGTCTAAAACGGGTGCTGCAACTATTTAAGCAACTCTCGAATTCGTATACTGGCGTGCATAATTCACGCGCCTTGTAAGTGTTTGACGACGCGGACTAGAAGTCTAAAGTCATAATAAGTTGCCTATATTCAAGGGACTAAAAATAAATGACACCTAAATAACATATACCCAAAAAAAAATTGTCCTGGTTTAACCGACAGGAGTTTGTTAACACAACTACCCCACTACCTGAGATATCTACGTAACTTAACCATCTTAAACTTAATTATGACTTAATTTGATTACAAATAATATCAATAGACAGTTAATAGCAAATACCTATATTATATACAAGAGTCAATTTTTACTAACGAAAGCACATATTCTTATAACTACGATATATTTCCGGGTGAGGGGGAGGAGTATGAATTTCAAAAACATATCTCAATATGACTTATTTCTTTAGGTACCTTTAATTTATCTAGATGATTTAGTTAATAAATAATTAAACTTAGATCATACAATATGATCTAATTATATGATGCAAGCAATACAAATTATGCAACTTAATGTACCTAATGTATTACGAAGAATTTGTAAACAAAATTTCAATATATTTTGGAGAAGAGTAGGTTTTAATTATCTGATGACATAACTGAACTAAATTATAGTTATAATATAGTATTTTTACTATCATTTTTTTTTTTTTTTTTAAATCGCTCACGGTTCTTCCATACAACAACAAAATCAATCATATTATCAATAATGAATTTACAAGGATCAACAATGTTATTCAAGGCTTGGCATTATTGCGCTAGAAGTAAAAATTAAGTTTAAAAGTTGAATTAATATTAATTAAGTTAATAATTAACGAGTTAATTTTTATAAAATTCAATTTTTAATTACTAAATTACTTTTTTGTGCACTTAATGCGTCAATTTCAAATTAATTCTATGTACTTCAAATCAAGTAAAATTTCAGTCAAAGACAAATTATCATAACTCTAGATTTTATTTCTTATTTGATAATTTTTATAACATTTCGAGTGATATTATGTTTTTAGAAATTCCAGTTTTAATTCTAGAAAAATTGGTTTTGGCTCATGATTATGAAGTGCATCGGGCTACCGTAAAACAAATTTAAGGCCTTTGATCTAATTTATTTTATTAAGATATTTTGATTGCCAATAATAAAAAAATCTGTTCTAGGGTGATAAGGACGGATGTAGCCACTATTATCGGAATGAACGAGTGGTTGGGAAGGTAGTAGAGGGGAAATTTATTGTATATTTGTATGTAACGAGTTCGGTTAATAATGTTACTTTGTCAACAATATATTAGTAATATTTGGGTAAAATAATTACATATGCATTATATGTTTTCTTTAATAATATTTGTTTAATATTGTACCTATTTTTCAGTTTTTCTTATATTTTTCCTGGTTTCCGATGCTTTTTTCAGGTTTTCTTAGATATTATAAAAATTGCTTAGAAAATCAAAAAATGATCTCCCTAAAGTAGGTAAAGTTTCCTTTCAGAAAATGTGTTACACTTGATACATCAGAGCAAGATTTCTTGAAGATACATGATTGCACAAACTTTGGACACACACATTCCGATGACTTGTGCCAACTTCAATTTAATTTTTGATCTTATCAAAATATATTCAATGTATATTCTACATTTTTACAAGAATATGTCTGACACTTGTGCCGCGGTAGTGATTGCTTGTCTATGGGGGGGGGGGGCTAGATTACGACAAAATTACTTTAAATTGACGTCGGAGTAAGTTTAATTTTCTTGGTAGTTTTATTAATAAATAGGAAAAACTGAACAAAAACATAAAATAAAACTAACAAATTTACGGTGTTTGAAATTTCGGTATTTTAAATTTATATGGCTTATGTTTTCTACCATAAATTTTGCTCTAATGAAAAAAAAAAATCAAGAGGTCTTTTATGTTGAATTCATTGATTTTACAAACATGTTTAGTATTATTATTTTTTTTTTATGTTAACACTTTTTCTATCAAAAGGCCTATTTCAATGTAAACAACGATACTTTAAGGAGGTAATTTTTCGATTTTCCCAAGAGTTTTCCCAGCAAATTTAAAAAACCGGGAAAAAATATAGGAAAACAGTGAAAAACGGAAAAATCAGTACAATATTAAACATATATTATTAAAGAAAATATATAATACTTTATGACATGTATATTGTTTAAAGAGCATTACAATCAACTGGATTTCGCTCAGAATAGTTTTTTCGTTAGCAATGGTTTATCGTTGCTTACAGATAAACATTAAATTCCTTTCTATATCTAACCTTTCCAACTTCTCACTTAAAACAGTAGCTGTACTGACGTGTGAAGTATGTCCGTCTTTTTAATTTAGTTGATAAATAAGAAAGACGTTTTTTGATTTTCTTTGTAGTTTTTTTTTATAATTGAGCAAAAGCAAAAAAAAAAAAAAGAGCTGATACTGGGGATGAGAGTGGCTACTGTTGTTGGTGAGAAGTTGGGAAGGTAGGATACAAAAGGTTATTTTATTTATTTCTTAAGCAACGGTAAACCATTGTTTGATGAAAGACGATTCCGAGCGCAGTTCGGTAATACATAATTTTTGAGATTTTCGTTTAAATTTGATTTATCAAAAAAAAAAATGTCGTCCGATGATTTTGGAAATTTGACCACCTTTAGGTAAGTCCAGTATAAGTATTATTACCAAGTTTCAAGTTTCTACGTGTATATTTATAATCGAATTACAGCAAAAAAACTCTCAAAAATTAAAATTTCTTAAAAGCTCAAAAGAGGCTTAAAAGTTTTAGCAATGATACCGTAAGAAAGTAAATCAAAAAGGCAACACAAAAGGTATCCTGTGATTTTTCGATTAAATCATTTTTTCTGGTAGAAAACGTCCGTGTAATTATAAAATAATGAAATTGTGAAACTGTACGTTTTCCCATGTTTTTCCCAACTTAAGTGCTTTTATTTAAAAAATGGCACCGTATGTATGTTTGCCTGTTAATTTTTCTAAAACTGTATATAACTTTTTTTCTTTTTTCTTTTTTCTTTTATTTTTATTAGTTAAACTACTTTAAACTTTTATTTTCAAATGACATTTTATATTCATCGCTGGATATGAACGAATTAATAATTTAAAAGTTAAATTAAATAGGTAAATTAATTTAATATTTTAACTTCATACAATTTTTTTATTATTTTTAATTTAATTGTCAACTTAAGGAATACTTACTTAAAGTTACCTTTTACTAAACTGTATTGGTTATTTTACATTCCAAGGCGATTTAATTTTTTCATATTTTAGATTCAAAGTGTAACGAAAAATGTATGTGGTTTACTAAGATGTTTTTTTTTTTTTGTTTATACTGTGTACAACTTTCAACCAGAAATCTTGCTCAATTATATACGTGCGGCGCTATTTCTGAAAGGGATGGTACTTTTAGGAGGTAAACAGAAAGTTTGATAAAATTTGAAATTAAATTTGTCATTTCTAGACGTGGTAATATTTTCAACAAATTTAAGCTACTTTTGAGCTATTTATATTTAATTTTATTTATATTCTAATTTTGAAAGTTTTGTACGTAATTTTTATTCGGTAGGTACTCTGTGGTAAAATTGTTAGACTTAACAGAAAGGCTTGAAAATTTAACAGGAGGTTCATTGTGAATTATACTTTACGTTTAAAAAAAGAAAATTTAAGTTTGATGTAGTATTTTATTTTTTATAATTTTAATATCAAATTTTGACGAAAATCGTTGAGAGAAAAATTATGCGGAATAAATCTAATTTTTTAATTTTTTTTTTTTTTTTGAACATGTGTATATTGCTGATTTTAAAACGAAGGTGAAATCAGAATTGAGCGGACTGACTAAGTTTTTAAATTATAGCTTTTTGAAGTTCTGATATTATGCAGATATTATATGTGATATTAAATAACTAAATATTGTCATCCTGAAAAATGTTGAATGGTCATAGTTGAATGGCTAAAATAGGTATGTTTTACCTATTTTAACACTAGAGTTTCAGACTTAAAACTCGTGTTTCGAGTTTGAAAAAAATGTTTTGCACTTTTTTCCCCGTTTACTTAAACAAGGAAAAAACAAATGTATTTTGGGTGTACCCCAGATATCCAAGCCATCGCTCGCTCGGACTATTTTAATCGCAAAATACCCCTTAATTTGTTGAATGAAATTTTATCTTTATGGTAACTTGAAGAGGTTATTTTTTGATTTTCCCAACAAATGGGAAAAATGGAGAAACAACGGGAAAATTTGTTAAATTACAAAATATTTACAAAAAATACAACTTGTGACAGAATTCTAAATTATTTAATCAGTAATTGATACAATTTTTTATTAAGTTAAAGTTGGAAAATCGTGAATTTTGAAAAAAACAAATTAATTATATACATACATTTTATCTTACACTGATGATTAGGAAAAACAGGTAAGAGAAAAAAATCTCAGATGATACAGTTGAAAATAATTCAAATACTTCTAAATTAAAAATAAGGGACATACTTCGCACATGGGCGGTCACTGTTGTAGGTGAGAAGTTAAGAAGATAGAAGGGCAATTTAATCTATATCTCTACTCAACGATTAACTATTGTAAACGAAAAAACGATTCTGCGCGAACTTAGGTTATACATATTTAAAAAGGTTGTAATAGTTATCATTTGATAATAACACATTTCGTACATTTTTCCACGTTTATTAGAGAAAATCAAAAAAAGACCTTCTTAAAGTACTACCCCAGTCATATTTCCTTTTTGAAAAAGTGCTACACTTGAAAATTAGAGCGAGATTTCTGGTATAAAAGTTGTTCACAGAAATAAAAAACATCAATGTAAAACTAATATATTCCTTGCACTGCTCAGAATCTACAATTTTAATACTGAGTCAGTTTTTTTTTTTTTCATAAAAACGTTTAATTATATCAGCAAAAATATATCTTTTTCACGATTTCAACGGTTTATTTATAATCAAAAAAAACGAATAAAATATAAAAAAATGATGGAGCAGAATTTATAATGCAATTTAAACACCTAATCAAAAAATGAGCTCCAGGTCACAAAATTCTTAAGTAAGACTCTGCTCAGTATCAAGCCATATTTTGTGAAATAATTAATTTCTGTCGAAAATAATCAAAAATATTTAATTTCATTAACATTTTCTTTTCTGTGTATAAAATCAATATTATAATGTTAATGGGTAATATTATTAAAATCATATCGGATTACGTACTACCGGACATTATTTATCGGACCAAATTACGTTAAACCATTTTGAGCGGTTGTTTAAATATATGGATGTAATAAATATAGGAACTTTAAAATTGTGTTCATAAATAATGTGAACATAGATTCTGTTAAATGTTAAATTGTAGAAAATATTAAGTAATTATACTAGAATTACTTATTCAAACGATTAAAGTAAGTACCTACACAGTATTATTTGTTATAGATGTGTAGACGATTATAAGGAAATGAATATGTACCTACAATATGTTTTTTATGTAAAATACCTTCCTAATATCTATTATCTTAATAAATAAAACAAAAACAAAAAACTGTATACCATTGATTTATTATAATTTATCTAAATCCTTTGGTAATTCAAACAATGTCTACTTGAACTATAGTACGTCTTTGTGATGGGATATTTGTGAAGTAGGTATCTACCACGTGTTTAATCTACACTATTGATTGTGTGCGTGCGTGCGATTTGTACAGCTAAATCTATGAGACTTAGGAAACTGAAATTTAGACAATATGTGAATTTAAATTTCAAGAGAGTTTTTCTCGAATAACCTATACAAAACACGTAATAACTAGTGATCGAGTAAGAAAAATAAAAGAAAAGGACTTCAAAAAAAAAAAAAAAATTAGCAACCACCCAAATGATGAAATTCAACCTAACCCCAGTGTTGAATCCAGGTATATGACAGGGCGAGAGCCCCTCCTCTGGAATTTCGCCCCTGATAAATTTTGGTAAATTAATTAAATAATAAAACAAATACAAATTTGACTAAGAGAGTAGATAAGCAAAAAAACAAAAGGTCATTATTATAATTTTTAAAGATGCTCTCCCCAGAAAAATTATCTGAATTCATACTGCCTAACTCGTTATTTCCATTATTGGAGCAAGAAATTGTCCATAGACAAGTTCATAAAGTTGTCAGAGTTATAATTGGTGCGAATGCACATAATATTATTATATTAGTAGATACCTATCTAATAAGGTTTCAATGCTGAATAGTTCATACGAGTATTATTGTTTTTGTTTGTGTGTGGCCAATGAGGAAACCGGGTCTTAGTTCTCTTAGCCACACCTTGGGTACAAATTTTACATTCTGAACAAAGCGAAGAATGTATTGGTTTTACAATGATATAGTTTATTAATTTATTTTATTTTTTTATCTTTGAACTTTTCTACCAGAAATTTTGCTCTGATTTTTAAGTGTAACATGCTTTTTCTGAAAAGAAATTTCACTGGAGTACTTTAGGAAGGTAATTCTATTGATTTTCACATGGGTTTTCTTAATCTGGGAAAAAACGTAGGAAAAATGGGAAAATTTACGAAATTTATTATTTTAAAATCGTAAACATTACGATCTTTTAGCCTTTGTAACCGAACTCCGCTCAGAATCGTTTTTCGTTAGCAAAGATTAATCGTTGCGTACAGATTATATATATTGAATTTCCCACTATATCCGTTCTTCCCAATTTCCTATTTACAACAGTGGTCCACCCATTGTGCGAAGTATGTCCGTATCTTTCTCTCATTTAAAGTAATGCTTTTTCCAAAACAGTTGTGTGCCAAAATGACAAAATATTACGTGTTTACGTCCACTTGATCGGTTGTTATAAACACAATACTCCATATTCTATATCATATATATATATATATAATCGTATTGTCGTAAAATCACGTTTTTTAATATAAATTAATTATTTTATGTACATTGATTGTTTAACGACCGTTTAATATGTTAATTGATAATATGACTTTATTAATTTTTTAGACACATAATATTGTATGTGTATTGTTATTAACTTATTTTTTTTTTGTTTTATCTTTTATTAAGTTAAAACAAACTCTCGACATATTACAAGTAGTTGAAGTGACAAGTAGTCGGTTTAGATGTATCTATGTGCTTATAATATGAAACGCAAACAGATATTTTATATTATTTGTTTGAACAATTTAATCGATGTAAGGAAAAAAAAATTACAAGTGTATCATATTTACTCGCTTCAATTCAAATAAATTAATAAAACATTTTTACAAAATATCGCTACACATTGGCCGAATAATTGTATTGTTACTAACACAAATTCAGTATGTATAATTCAGTATTTTTAAATTTTTTTATTAATGACCTTAATAAAAATAATTATTTTCAAATAATAATAATAAAAAAAAATAGGTACCTATCAAAAAACCCAATCTATAAAATAGAAGAAACGTGACTAAATTATAGACACAAGATTGATTTATTGTGATTTAAACGATATTTAAAATATTTTTTTGATAGTGTCGAAATTCTTAAATGAACGATATAACATATTATAACAGTGAAATATTTTTTACTGTACAAATATTCGAAAATCGGAATAATCAATTATTGTTAATACAATTCTATTTAAACGTTTAATTGGACAGAATTAGTATAGTTGAAACAAATATGAGCTTTATATAGAATTAATTGTCTGTATCTACTTATGCCTATACATATTTTATCATTGATAAATTCGCATTTCGCAAACTAATAAGCATGCTATGTGAATCTTTATCGACATGCAAAAAAGATTTTAGATTTTTTTAATTTATGGGTAAAATCTTTAGTTCCAGGGAAGAAGAGCTCGAGTCAATATTCGCATGACTTTCAATGTAAGCAAATAAAATTTTTAAAATACATACACTTAAGCATATTATAAAGTAATACACTAAATTTATTACATGCTATTATTATGAAAATCCATACATATTAATCCAATTTACAATAAAAAAATAAATGGAAAAAAAACATATGACAAAATTGTATTGAAAAAAAAAAATGCTATATAATTAAACTTAAGTCTTAACATTATTCCCCGGAACCAAAGATATATCTATTTGAAAAAAAAAAAACTATCTATGCTTTAAGGTATGCTGGTATTATATTTAAATAATATAACAATAATAATAATAATAATAATAATAATAATTATTTTATTTTATCAGTTTCATTCGATAACACACAAGTAATAATAATAACATAGTAATATATCACAGTACACATTTTTTTTTTGGAATTCGAAAATAAATTCTAGTTTTACATGGCTCGTTTCATATTATATATACCTATATTATAGAACTAAAGAGAATAGTAAATTATGTACATAGTAAAAGTATCTATCTACATAACATATGACACATTATATCGGTTTTATAATATAAAACAAGCAATATTATCGTTATTTTATTAAACATTATTCAGTAATAATGTTTGTTTGTTTTTTTTTTTTTTTTTTTTTTTTTTTTTTTAATACACAAAATCAACATCTTCCTGCGAATTCACGTGTTTAAGAACATTTTTAGAAAACGTATACACAGTTTTATTTTTTTCTCATGTTTATTAATTTGTTAATGGAGATCTGAACTAAACAGGTGAAAAACGCCACGTAACTCAACAGTCCGAATGCATTTTTGCTGCCCACTTTTTCGAACGAGTAACCCGCGCTGAACGAACCGAACGATATACCTGAAATACGGTAAAAAAAAACACATTTTATAAAACTGTTACTGAAAAACAGATGCAGCACGTCAATGAGTTGATTCCCAATTATCGAATTGGGTCCCGGGTCTATTATACAGGTTATATACAAACTGGTTCCGATTAACTGCCGTTTTAATAATAAAACAGAATTAGAAACTTAAACCTATTTCCTTTTCATTTTCCACAGACCTAATATAATACTCTTCTTTTAGACTCCTTTGATCATCACACAAACTTTACCGTAAACACGGCGTTGAAAATCCTAGTTTTCATCAGGTACAATACTAAAAGTTTCAAATTTGTCCACAGTGTTGAACCCGGACAATTTTTCTAGAGGGGAGATTACTAAAACTATATTAGGTAGTCACCTTCTTTTTTGCCTATCTACCCTTTTACTAAGATCAATCATTTTTTTAAAATTATTTATTTAATTACTAATTTACCTATGTTTAACTGGAGGCAAACAAAATTCCAGGGGGGGGCTATCACCCTCCCTGACATATATCTGAATTCAACACTGCTTGTTCACTGTCTCTGTTCTTTATGCATTTTGATTATCAGACTCTTCCTAGAATATGGAGTGATTGTTTCGCACCCTTACCTGGCAAAAGACCAGTTTCGCATCGAACGTGTTCAGAACAGATTTTTAGCATATTACGTTACTTTCATTTTCAATTCTCCAGTCACTCATCACAACTATTAACCTATCCAAGCAGCTCTCCACATCCAATTTCTCGCGTCGATTCGAAGCTGACCAACGTTTTATTAAGTTCCTTTTAAATGGTTCTTTGGATGGTACTAACCTCCTTGAAAAATTTCAATTTAGAATTCGTTATTATCCTACCTGCAATTCGATTGCTTTTTCTATCTCCAATCACACCACCTCTTACAGCCATAACCATACACTTCACCGCAAACATAGATTCCTCATTTTATTTTTTATTTTTTTATTATAGTTTCAAAATTGTACCGTTTGATTTTAGTTTTTAGTTTTATTTTTAAGATATAAACTGTTAAATTTGTTTATACTTATATTTTTGTTGTTTGTATCCATTTCTATAATTGCTGCCTAGCGTTTATTGTAAATAAAAAAATACAATAACCTAGAAAGTCTATACTAGAAATCCGTAATCAAGATGGTAGCAGCCGTTGAGAAAAAAACGGTATTTAGACCGAAAAACTAGACAATACTATAGGATTCGAATTTGACGGACTTTAATTTTGAATACGAATTTTGATTTCTTAACAAGTTTGTTATAAAGTTTTGATGATACAAAAACAATATACATTTTCCTGCATAAGTAAAACTGATTGAACTTGTTGTTCTTAAGTTTAGGTACGGGAACAAATTCGAATAGTTTTATGATGCTATGTAATTTTTATCGGGAACAAATTCGTATTTTTATTTTTATTTTCGACCCCGGGATCAATTCCGTTGTTTTTTATATAACATCTGAATGTGTTGTACATTTTATTCAGCTGGCAATAAAATTTAGAATATTATTTAATAATATGCTGCTCACCTATTCCGTGGAAAGCCATGCCGAATAGTCCCTGGAGGGTGCCTTCACTGCCGGCCGGCGCTACTTCGGCTGCATACGAAACGCCGGCTATAAAGGCCATGGCAAACGACAAACCGTTGGTCATTTCGACGGGCAATACCCACAACGGGTCTTCGATGATGGAGTATAGGAAAAATCTCAACGAAAACATCGCGAACGATATGGAGAAGGCGGTCATATGTCCAGTGTATTTCAATATGTACCCTATATACAAATATGAATTATAATAATTATTACATAGTATCTACGTGTTTACATAACATCTTACGTCTATTTTTAAATTTAAATTTAAAATTGAATATTACTATTTGTGTGTGTAATAAAATACATAAATTACAATATTGTTTTGTATTTTTCTTGAATTTTATTACAAATTTGAACCAAAACGCTAATAATATATTTATAACAATACATCAATATGATATTACGATCAAATTTTTGTTTGTTTTACTGCTAATTATAATACTTGTGTGGAACCTACATTTTTCGAGCATTTTTGGGAAGCCAAAAAAAGAAGAAAAATGTTATCCACATAATCAAAAAACCAAATAACTCAAAAATTCTAAAATATTTTGAAAACTGTATTATCCCATTTATAAAATGCTACCTAATATATTAGTTTTTGATGAAAATTTCATGTCTGAAAATCAAAATCTGTACATTCTTTAACAAAAACCGTATACTTATAAATATATATATATAATATGTGTACCTAATATTAGCTATATATACTCGTACAATATAACCCAAACAGTATAAAAATTTCAATATAAATATTTTGCTGATAATGTGGGATAAAATAATAACAATTTGTCCTCGTATTACTACAATTAAGACTCGAGTTTATAAATACCAAACAGAAAAAAAAACTGTAGAACATGTTCTAAAAAAATCGCCCGAAAATGGTAAAAACTACTCTAAAAATGAAAAAAACGGAAAAAAATCTAAAATAAAAGTCGTACCTACATAATAACAATAACAAATATGTATTGTTTGATTTGTTTGTTCACATGCGCGCCACATCCGTTAATAAAGATAATAAGGTAATTTCGTTAACGAAATCGTAAATAGAATAATTGACTGTCTGTATTGATGAAGAGTACTCAAAACTTACTAAAGCCGTTTTCATTGAAACAACATTACAGGAGAAACTACCTAAATGTAAACTGTTGAATTCGTATAATACACGTGAATATAATGCGCACTTAAAATCTAAATTGTGTACTCGGGAACCAACGTCTTAGGTCGCTCTCCGGAAAATGTTGGCGTTTCGCGTTGAAAACCGGGCCCTAAATTTATCGGAAACCAAACGATGTACATATTCGAATATTTAAGTACCTTTATTATTTTTACGATAAGCGTTTACGAATTATTTTATCGTATATCCACGCGGTATATTATATTCTCAGTAGTTATAGTATTTAAATATTTGAAATTACATATATTTTTTTTTTTTTTCAGTTTTGTTCTACAGTATACAATCTACTCGTGTACGTTCTGTAACTTCGTGTGATCGTAGTAGCGTTATTGCAACGACTGCTGTAGAGTTTTGGTATTATATCAGTGTTTCTCGGAACCGTTTTCGTCACAATAAACAGAAATATTACGAATCGTCGGCGTGGCAACGGGCACCATTATTAGTGCGATATTGTAATAATGTAATGATATAATACATACATTTATATAAACCGTGGGACGATGTTTTATTTGAGAATGCGTTAAACTCTGCGATGTTACGATTGCATACTCGATAGGCCGTCATATCACATCGTATGCGTGTAAATTTAATGTGTCTATGATAATCGAATAATAATAATAATAAAAACAATTAAAAAAAAAAAACTAATTTAGTCGCTATTTAATGCTAATAGACACTTATTGATGCATATATTATTATAATAAGTATCAATAATGGATTAATTATCATTATCATGTATTATTCGATTTTCTTAATTAATGAATTAAACATCTGTTAAACAGCCGTCACAGGCCAATTTTCTGTACCTATCTGTGCTATATTAATGGGCAGTCTATATAGCAAACATGTGTTCACGTAAAACAACAAAAGAAAAGACTTTTAAAATCGGTTTTAAAGACGAAATTCGTAGATGACATAATTATTATATTTTCGCAGCCTCATTATTGGCGTTTTTTATTTTGTTTTTTGTTTTTTTTTTTGTACGATCGATATGATATAACGAGTTGAATATAACTTGGGGAATATGTAAAACGAAAATAAGCGTTCTTCAAAGGCATTTTCGTTTTTGTTTTACGAGAAAATACGATATCGTGACCATTATAAAATGACAGAGACCATAACTCAACTGCGTGACGGCCACCTCCCCCTCCTATTACCGTTAATATGTAAATATAAATACTGACCAATAGAAAAATAAATATTATATTACAATATGGTAAATATTTACGCGATATAGGGATGCGATTATGAGTAGGATTTTATAATAATATGCGTACAATCTGAGTTCACATGTATATTATCTGAAATGTACGTATAGGTATGGTTGTACTGTAATCTATTTGTTATTATCAACAAGGTCCGGAAGCTCGTGAAAAACCATGTTGTATAGAATTATAATAATTATCTCGACAATAAACACGCAAACCGTGCAGACATGTTTAATTGAAATCATTAAAATAATATTCCAAACACGAGGATAGTAATGTTGTGTTTAGAACAGATAATTTTATAAAAAAACAAATCTAAATCAAAACAACACACTTTTCATAGAAATCGTTTGATTCTATATTAATCTTGGGTATTATAACGGATTTATGAACGAAAGGATTTAAAAAACAAATACTATACTTTATATAACTTCAGAATTTCGTACACGTATAATAATTAATAACTGCATCATAAGTAGTGAGGTTTGAATAAAAAAAAAAAATAATAAATAATAATTATAATAGTACCTAAGTTTATTACCTAGATTTTTATCCACTTGTGAAATAATTGTAATTTGTTTTTATTGTTATTTTTTTTTTTCGTTTTATTTTTTCCCAGACAATTTTTTCATTTTTTTTTTTTTTTTTGTAGACTTTAATAAAATACTACATTTCGAAATTTGCATGAAAATACTTATAATATAATAATATTTTGATGTGTCTATAATGTATATATTAGAAGTAAAAATGGCGGACTAATTAAAAATGAGAAACGTTATGCGAAAATTGCCGTTCTGGTGATGAGATTTGAATTTCGTATGAATTGGTAAATGTTTGGATCTTTGCGTTAACAAAATAATATGCGATAACTTTTCAACTTTTTATAATCATTTATAAAACCTAATACCTATTCGTGATCATTATTATAATTTGTATAAATCTTTGCATTTATGACTTATTAAAAGTTGATGGTTTTTTTGTTTTTTTTTTTTGGAAGAAACCAAATAAGGTATATTTTATTTGACAAGAAAACAATGCAATAAGTATCTGATTATTTCGTAGTGTTTGGAAAGAATGCGTTCAATTTTACGTGAACGTGAACAACTTATTTTATTAATTTTACGTTAATTTGATAACAAAAAAAAAAAAGTCATGACAATATCAATGCTATTGGATTACAATCACGAACTAAGATAATATGGACTGGCAACGACAAGGCAGGCGTTTTTGAACAGTGCAGTCGAAGTTTGAGACGGGATTTACTTAAATGGGGAGAATACAAGTGAACAAGGTGAACATTCCAAACACTGCTATTTCGTTATTATTTTACATAATGGAAGCGAAAAATGTAATCACCATAGTACTTATGCGACAGTAATGGCTTCAAAATCAATAAATCCGGACAATTTATTTTGACCGATTAACGAAATTAGATTTACTTAAATTTCGATATTTTTCCTGTATCACTATATACTGAATATTTAAATAATTACGAAAATAATAACATTTTTAATTATAGAACTTTATTTGTCTAAAAAATAAAAAAAAACAATATTGTAGGTACCTACAATTTGTTGTATTGATAGGGAAGTTTATTCATTGTTAGGTAATGTAATGTTATTAGTTTATTACTGTTATAATTATTACTATATTGTAAATTGGATTTTGTCCGTATGAATTATAAATAAATATATTACAATATTGTATAGTTTGTTGTTAATTGTACTGTTACGCCTAATGTTGACAATAGGATAATGTCAGACTATTCCTTCAGTAAATCCAATATTGTGCTGTTGATTATAATATTAGAGTGAATTTCTAATATCAAACATAACGGTAAGAGTATTAGCTGTTTTTATATGTTGATTACTTTTCGATATTTTAATTTTTAAGCGATAGATTAGCATATATGAAATATTACCGTTTAAAAATCTTTGTAACTCACTTGGAAATTTAAATATTGAAAAAAAAATCAACGTACAAAGATAGATAATGTTCTTACTTTAAAATTTGTTAATAATCTAATTTGTTTTAATATTAAAATAAAAATCACGAAATTGAATTTACTGAACGAAAGTTTGACATTATCCAATTCTTCGCAACATTATAGTAATAACGCACTACAATAGTACTGTATTCATAATTTACTATTAATTTCCATATCCCAATGTTACGTATATGATTTAGTTCGACCCGATATTACATTTGACTAAAACTTTTTTTATTTTTTTTGTCGTATAGTTAATGATATTTCTTTTAATAATATGTCTTTATTATCTTAACGAATTTATTATAGGGGGAAAAAATCAAATCATTATCGTTTTACCAATATAATACGGTTTTTATATTTTTTTTTTATTGTAGTTAAACACTTTTCAATTGAAGAGGATGCTCATAATTTATTATGATATGACCGTCATTGTATAATACGGGCGGCGGCGTTTAAATCTCGTTTGTATTTTTCAATCGAACCAATTTAAAGGAGCGATAATTTATTAAAGTGTTGAATTCAGGGGCATATCTTAAATACACACGTGGATATGAGAGACACTCAATTTGTTTTTTTTTTTTTAACACATAATACTATGACGTGTTTAAAACAACATTTCTTACATCTAACAATAAGTATATTAGAGTATTAGAACATGGCTACTACAATCGTGCGTAGTGTTTTTGTCGAATATTCTTAGAAAAAAGAGACTATTGCACTGTGTAGTAAATTTTTTATTACTTTTGGACATTTTTAGCCGTTTTTACAGGACAAAATAAGCTCAAAATCGGGAGTTGAAGTTTTTTATAGGCAAATTGCAGTGATAACATTTTGGTTGAATTTCACCATGTTTTGGTTGGAGGAGGGTTTTTTTTATACTTTACTTACAGATTCTCTAAATAAAGCAAGGAGGAAACAATTTTGTTTATGCATAGTGCAAATATCAAGGATGTGCCTTAAGTAATTTCAACTTTCAACCCCCTCACCAACCATTTACATGCTCAAGCTGTATATTAGATTAGGGTAGGTTGAAATACTGACAATTTTAAATACTTATGCAGATTAAAATTCAATTCAACTCTGGCAACCATAAATATTTGAGATCAATTATATAATGTACATATAAAAAAAAAATAATAATAATAAAATATTGTAATAGTGACAATAAGTCTGTAAGAAAATTCGACAAAGCTCTGCTGATCACGGGTGTTTTTTCCATACATATAATTAATAGTAACAAACTTATAACCAATACTATAATTAATTTTTGCGGGGACTTTCAAAAACACATTTAATTTTTAAATATTTTATGAAAATAAGAATAACGTGGTGGCTTTAATTGTATTCGTCAACGTGGAATAATAAACTTACAGAATGATCAATCTACGATAATATCTCGGAAAGTATTTACTATTTTTCGCACAACTTATGAAACAAGTAACTCTAAAATGTTCAGCTGTCGTTATTTTTTTTACCCCTATTTTTAAGGGGAAATCAGTAACCATTTTCAAATTACAACTTATATTAGGAATTTCGTAAATAGATAAAATTTTAGCTAAAATAAATTTTGGTGTTGCAAATCAATAGCGGGTAGTGATTTCAATCCCATTCATAAGAATGCCAAAAAAATAATGATAAAGTAGTATTTTATAACTACTTGTTTCATAGTTATTCAAAAAAGAAAAAAAATTTCCGAGATAGGTATTATCGAGAATTGATCACACTATATATTAATACAATATTATCTCAGATTATACAAAATATGTTTCGAGCATTATGTATACATAATCATATATTTTTTCTTGTGTATTATTCATGTAACGTATTTTTGTAATATGTTTTCGTAAACACATTGACAAACGATGTATCGGTATGTAATGTTTGTTTCACTTACCAGAAAGAAAATAAATGGGAATTTCGCTTATGCAACATTCTATTGTTACTGCAAAACCTTGAATGGTCTTGATCCACGGTAAACGTTCCTGATGGTAAATTTTTGCCAAGTCGTCTATGTACCTATATAATATTGCAGCAGGAACGAACAAAACAATATTTAAATAACAATTTGTTAGTTTAGTTGATAGCGCGTTGCGTAATAATAAAATATCGAGAAAAAAAGTATGTTTACAAAAATAAATAAAACCAGATGTATGCAGTGAAAATACCAGCAAAAATTGCCCACACAAGGTACGAGCAGACTTTGACGTTAGACAATATCATCTTGATGTCTTTAAACATAATTTTCGGCGAAGTTGTTTGGTTGCTCTGGAAAAAAAAATACGAATATTTTAATAACAATACAACAATTTTTTCGATGCAAACTGCAGATACTTACGTTCAGTTGAAACGCCAATGTAAAATGACAAAGTAGAGACGCCATCGCGATAAAGTACGCCGGCAAGTAATCTTTTTCTTTTTTACCCATACTGTACCAATCGACGCATCCGCCGACTAAAAACGTCGAAATACCCCAACCGATCGCTCCCCAGACCCGGTTTCTTCCGTAGTTTTTTTTGTCCTCACCTGCATCATAACTATACATTATTATTTTGCGTTTTATACATATAAAAATTTAAAAAATAAAACAATTTTTAGATTAGAGTATTATTGTAAATGTACCGGCCAAGAACTACACTGGCGGTTCCCGTTGGCAGGGTGAAATTTCGGTTTCGGTGAGCACTGCAGGTCGGATATTCTTGCGATATACTCGCAAGAGGTCGCGTACGACTTCTCCGGATACGCGATGGCCGATACTCAGATATATTTGATGTATTGGTAGTCACTATATACCTATATGTGGTTCGTTTATTCCTTTTATTCGTATTTCGCCATTATTTATGACACGGATTTAAAACTAGCTTACTCGGTACTTTGTAATAAATCATACTATTATACGTTAGAAAATAAAAAACTTCTCTAGTACAACACTAACTACTTTCGAGTCTTAATAATAATATTTTTACTCTTGTCCTTTTTTTTATTTATTTATTTTTTTGATGACGTATGTAACCGTTAATTATTCGCGGTTGGCACGTACTTCATTTTGTCGAGTTCGACTATTTTACTTACCTATTATATTTCTAATTTGATGAGACTTTACGGTTTTTTTTTTCTAGACTGATTTGCATTTCACAGAGATTATAGTTTATATTGTTATATTGTTTCGACACGTAACTTGTAAGCGCGACTTCGCAGTATATTAGTTATTTATATAGAGATATTATTCGATTTACAAAGGAACTCCCAAATTCAAATAGGTCACCGTATACAAGAGATTTTTTTATAGTCCTTTCAAACATTGGAAACCCTATAAAACGTGCTAATCGGCCAAAATATTTTCAGATAAACGGCTTACAACTACCGAAAAGGGACATAAACAGCTATTTAGACTGTAGAATGCAGATTTAGCACATTAGGCCGGAATTACCCAAGATTTCAAAGCAGATAGTGTCTTGGAGAACGTCCCCGATCATCCAGAGCATCATTCTCACGGTGACGGTGCCCCAAAACATCCAAAACTGCCAGTACTTCAAGATGTCTTCGGTTTCGCCATTTTGGTCGAATCTGGGCGTAAAGTGGATGAGCGGAGTGAAAAGCGCGTTTATTAACGACACGCACAGCAGTACCCGTTTTCGACACCGGTACCGATCGGTAAGATACCCGGTAATCGGTCTCACGATTACATTTAGAATCGGCAAAATCGTAAATATTACACCGATGTACAGTACGGGGATTCCACGTTGTCGGGCTATAGTCTGCAAAAATGGATTGATCGGCGCGATTCCTGAAACAAAATTAAATTGCAGGTTGGTAAGATGAGTGTGCAAGATGAGTTTGAATAATGATATGCACACTCACTTTATACGAACATAAACTATCGTTAATATTTATCAAACACGACGGTTTTGTTTTGTTTTTGTTTGTTTTTTTTTTATAAATAAGATGAATCGAATGATATAATATTACGTGCGCGAAACGTACAAACTCGAATCTACGTATCAAATAATATCTACGTCATAAAACTCCTATATCACTATTAATCACTTATTAATAATATTATTATAATATGATTGTTTATGTACCTATTATGAACCATGGAATATTTGTTTTTTTTTATGTTTGACTGAAAAAATAATTAGATAAGGTAGTTAAACATTGTTTACAAGTGTATATTGTATATGCAAAAAGGTGTTATACATATTTTGTACTATCCTTTTTAATCTTCCGAATGCGGAATTCGATTTAAAAATTAAAACAAGTTGTACGAATTACCCGCAGGTGTAATAACATTGAAACTATCGATTTTTTTTTCATGCGGTTAGATACGTGCAAGTTTGTAGTAGCGTGACAAAAAACAAAATGTTGGCTCCGTCTTGCCCCTTTCTGGCGCTGTTCCCCGATTTTATATGTAACAGTGTGTTGTGTAGGTACCGACCGATATAATAATATTATATTGTTTAGTAGAAACTAGAAAGCAAATATGTGCTCACTAGGTCAATTTTTCGTTGCAATATATTAAACGGTCACCGTATAAAAGTTCAAGTGGACGAATTTTCTTTAACAATCTAATAAAATGGAAGACCGTTTAATATGAAATTACGACTTTTTATTATGAATTTTTTTAATTTTGTGTGGAATGAAAAACTTATGAGAGAGAAGTGACTTCATTTTAAAAAAGACGGACGTACTGGATGGGCCACGTTGTAGGTGAAAAGTTAGGAAGGTATAGTAGAAGGGAAATTTAATGTATATCTGTATGCAACAATTAACTATTGCTAACGAAAAAATGATTTTGGGCGGGGTTCGATTGATAGAGTTGCTTTGTCAATAATATATAGGTAAGTTATATTATGGTAAAATAATTATATATATTTTCTTTAATAATATTTGTTTAATATTGTACCTATTTTCCCGTTTTCCTATGTTTTTTCTCAATTTTCCCCATTTTTTTTTGGAAAAATTCCTGATAGATAAGTTGTCTATAGAAAAAATAAACATTATGATAAAACCAATACATTTCTTGCTCCACTCAGATTTATTCAGCGGGCTGCCTAAATCATGTATATATATATATATATATATTTATGAAAAAGCATAATTAATCAATACAATAGTGATAACAATGCGGATCAACGTAAATAAGCATAAATAACTGAAGAAATAAGTAAATACACATAAATAGATAATTAAATAAGTAAACAATTGTCGAATTGAAACATTTAAGTGGAGTACAGATTATTAACGATGTATATAATATGTTAGAACTAAAAGATATCTTTCGTAGTTTTTCGACTAATAGTCCATTCATTTTGAAGAATTAGTTTTACTAATAGATACCGATAATTTTTCGATCAGTAAAAATGCTTCAAAAACAGCCTGACGATACATCATTTGAACAATTTTACTTGATTCCCATGCGTAATTTTTTCTAAAATAAATATTTAAATCAGCAAAACAAAAGGTGTATAATATAATATTATTATTATTTTTTAATTGACTTCCGGTTTTCCTTGGTAAAAAAAAAAAAAAATAAGATGTTAATAATAATAAACAAATGTAAACAATTTGATTGAGTTCCAATCGAATCGTTATTCGTTTGAACAATATCCTATAATTATTTCTCCTTCTTACCGAACATCTAAATCGGTGGCCTACCCACGGGTCACTGTGCGACATAGACGTCTGGCCTTTTGATTTAAAATTATACATCAAACAAGTTTTTTTTATAAGTAATTTCCAAGGATACGCACAATTATCGTTTTAATATATTACAAATATTGACAACGGAAAAAAATACACCCGCAAAATTAGAACTCCCCGAGAGTATACCAAGTCATGGTCATTATATTTTAGCGTTATGGTTTTATTCGAAAGTATAAACACATTATAATTATTACATTGCAGAACAACACGAAAGGACGATCATTGATTTAATTTATGTAAATTAATAAAAAAAAAAAAAACAGCAACAACATTGCGACATTTTTTAAAATTTTGTAAATTAATGAGCATCGTTAACGTCGACGCAAACAAAATATAATAATATTATGTCGGCTCGACGTGACATTGAAAATCGATTTGTACAGCCGATTAAAATCGCAAAATATCTATGCAAAATCGTTATAGATATTCGTAACTAAATCTTCTATAATTATAATTAACATCGGCGATTTAAATTCGACATCCGTTGTCAATCAGTGGATGGTGATCACAATGATAATATTACCTCATGCACCTATACGTTTGTGTTTAACACAATACGGCATGAATAACATGAATAATAATATGATATATTATCGCGTTCACTACGGTCGCATCACGCGTTTAAAGAAACGAGATACGTTTGAGTCGCGGTTATAGAAATTTGTTTCATTTTCAAATTCGGCGGATACATATATATATAATATTTTCGCGAAAAACGCATCAGACGATTCGCTTTGCCATTTGCACCGCACGACTGTCGTGTATATTATTGGTAATACATGTTTTTTCCCCGCAGATAATCAATGTCTACACAGTCTATATTATGTCAAAGGTAACGACGACGATTAGCATAATCATTTTCCATACCTATTGTCGTGTGACATCTAAGAACGAAAGACCGTACGTCGTTTGTTATACTATTCAAAATCGTATTGAATGTAAAGCGGACAAAATCGCGATTTCTCGCAAAGATTAGATATAGGTATAGATAATTATTATAGTGAGATTAAGGTCGATTTTCGTTTTGAATAGGTACTGTAATATCGGTATTTGGCGAGTAGATTTAGCGAAAACCCTTTTAAACCCTTGTAAATAAACTCACTTCAAACGTTTTATTTATAATATTTTATATTTTGATAATCTCTCAACTCACAGTTTACCTCGAAGGATCGTGTCAAAACTGAAACCCGGCGCAACAGTCCGTGAAATTCGTCACAATTGTTATTAATGTATTGCAAATTGAAAATATGATTGTTCTCCTCAAAATTCCTCTACCAATTTTTAATATGATTTAATTTTTGGATTCATAAAAAAATAAACTCTAAATATCTAAATATTTTACAATAATTCTATATAAAAAAAACGAGAAATTACAAAAATGATTACTTTTTTAAAGAAGATAAAATTAAAAACGTAAAACGTTGATCTTAAATTATACACACTCCGACAAATACAAATCTGCTTTCAAAACTCTTATCAGTTCATTCAATAAATCGTACTGTTACATACTTACGGAAACATTTCATATTTTATTTATGCTCGTTTGACGTCGGAAGTTAAAATGTTAGCAATTATCTTTAAAAATTATATTGTCCATGAAACATTTTTAAGTTTTAATTTTTTTTTTTACGTTTATTATACTACGTGTTTAGTCTCAGTTTATTTCAGTCATTTTATGTATAAGTATCCTTTGGCATTTATTCTTCAACAATTATTATATTTAACTTATTATGGATGTTCTAAACCGTATATTATATATGTTAACTTCATATATCCTAATCCTTATTTTGTTGTGACATTACTACATATGGTTCTATTAAAGTTATTATTTAGATGATAATTAACATTTAACTGAATGTATCATATTAGCAGTAAATATTATTTGACACGTATTCTCGTGTACTTTATTAATTGTATATAATTTCCATAGACACGGTCTAAAAATAAATAGGTATACAATTTTAAGGACGATTCAAAAATTTAGGTTCATTTAGAGAAGTAAGATATTAAAAGAAAAGCATCTATCAACTGTTATAATCAAAAAACCTATCTTATTATGATTTTAACTTCATAAACTGGCAAGGTTATAGAATAAGTCGTGGTTTTATCGATTGTAGCCAAGATAATTCAAAAATCGACAGAAATAAAATTCAATGTTCATTATTCCGTTATTCGTTTATTTTTTAAACATTTATATGATTATTCATAACTATTGGACATTTAGAAAAATAGTTTCAAATAAAGTACTTCTGGTTCTGGGCAAATAATGTGTAAATGTTGAAGTATGGAATGACAAAATCGGAGTATTTTTAGTGACCAGAAAAGTGTTTTCCGAGCCAATAGCACATTTTAATAAAACACATCTTATAAGTAGCTATAACCACTACTGAGAATAATATCTAAAATGATATAAAATCCAAAGTTTTTTACAGTATTATAATTATAATATTCATCAATTATTATTGTAAATTTAGAAATAAATATTATGATATTGTGGTCTAAAAAAATTAGGCGGTTTAAACAATATTAAATACTGATGATTAGATTATGATCATGTACAAAATATTGTTTAATGCTGATGCTGACTAAAAAATTGTAAAAAATAAAAAAATAAAAATAAAACAATACTATCATAAATCATATATTTAACTGCTTGGTGAAAAAATAATATATAGTTAAGCATGAAATACGATATTTTATTACCAATTACTGTACAGTTATACGTGCCCAACTCATATTATAACTACGTACCCAAGTTCAACTGCATCAGTAGGTACCTGTCACTTCCAAGATATAGTTCTATGGTTAATACATTGTTATAGAAACCGTTCCTACATAAATCCTCACGCCCGATAACGTCGATAACAATCGACAGCCTATCTTTAATATAATATTATCAATATGTTGATTTATGGTCTGTGGATGTAACAATATTATTGTTATACATTAAATATTTAAATATTCGTCGTAATTGCAAAGAAAAAAATATATCGCACTCCATAGATAAATTCGATAAAACACGGAAGAGCTCGTACATGTGAAACAATGATAACGTATTAATTTATACTATAATCGTCGTAAAAAAAAAGACGGAAATATATTTCGCACGATGGGTGGGCCACTGTTGTAGGTTAGCAGTTGGGAAGGTGAGTCATAGGGGGGAATTTGATTTATATCTGTACGCTATGATAAACCGTTGCTAACGAAAAACGATTCTGAACGGAGTTCCGTTGTACATGTTTTGAAAAGCCATAATATTTACGATTTAAAAATAATACATTTCGTAAATTTTCCCGTTTTTTCAGGGTTTAAAAACCCCTGGGAAAATCAAAAATTACCTTCTTATTACCCCAGTCAAATTTCCTTTCAGAAAAAGTACTACACTCGAAAATCAGAACATGATTTCTGATAGAAAAGTTGTTTACTTACACACAGAAAAAAAAATCAATCGTACATCTCATATAGTGAAACCAATACATTCGTCTCGTTGTGCTCAGAATCGATCGTAACGGAATCGCGCGTAATTTCCGTAATTTTCCCTATACAATAGTTTCGCCCGCGGTTATCGAGAAAAACACGCGAAATATCAGCAAAAAACGTTCTATATACCGACCAAACTGGAATAGGTTGCTACAGGCACCTTTACTACACACTTGAAAATCGGACCGAGATTTCGGGTGGACAAATTGGAACGGGCGTGAAAAAAAAAAACATGAAAGAGAAAAAAAAAAGTCCGCTTCCCGGCGTTCTGTTTACAAGGGAATCGTTACGTTACACAACCGCAATGGGTCCGCCGTAGTCTATCGGCCAACGCACGTCGTCCGGTGGCACCGAAACGCCGTGCGCGGAAAACCAAATACCGGCACCGGCGGCGCACAATCGTTAAAACACCGTGCGGTACTTGCCAAGCGGTACGCACACCGCGCTCGGGGCCGTCTCTGCGCGTTCCCAGTTGTTTTACAGTAAGGACGGAGGTGCGTCGTCGTCGTCGCTGTTGGTTATTGGCATTCTATTCTGTATTATTATTATTATTATTATTGTTATACGAGAACGATACACTCGATGATAAACAGGAATTAGTACCGATCTTACGGGACTTTATGCGATCGAAAATATACAAAAAAAAAAAAGCGCTTAAAAACGTCCTGAAGGCTTCGACGCGTGATGCGAAAATGGTAGGTAAGGTATAAAAGTCCCTATACCCCCTTTAATGGCTTTGACTTTTTAAACGCAAATACCCGATAAAGGAAAAAAACCGGAAAAACGGGAAAATATACGAAATTTATTATTTTCAAATCGTAAATATTACAGTCTTTTTTTTGTATAACCGAACTCCGCTCAAAATTAGTTTTTTTTAGCAATGATTAATCGTTGCCTACTATGCATTCAATTTCCCTTCTACCTTTTAAATATCTCACCTATAACAGTGACTCACCATTCGTGCGAAGTATGTCTGTTTTGATGTTTAAAGTTTGTTATAATTTTATATTGATATTATCCTGTTATGTCGATCCAGAGAGTCGTGTGAAGGGATTTTATAATTTTGAACAAATTTTTTTATCGTTACTTAAATATTTCTTATCAATTAGGCATATAATTGCACTGAAATTGTTAAATAAATAATAGTTACCTACAAACTCAATGATTTTATATTATTTTCAATATAATCATTTAATCGCTAAAATAATATTATAATGCTAAGATTATGTTACGTGCGCACTTCAACAAATTCGAACAATATAATATATTATGATGGTGATAAAAGGATTAGAAAAAAAATCACGGCTAATTATTTTTTTATTTACCTACCAGAGGTACTCATCATCGATAAACGCGACGAGTTCACGGACCATCTCGCGAACAACAATGAAATCTTATATTATCGAATCTCTGAGTCTCATGGTGGCGTCTTTCAATACTAATGTTCATGCAGTGTGTCTGCTATATAAATACGACAGTTATGTGCATGTGAACTACCGGATTGCGTATCGGTTTGTCGTAGATACGGGTCAGAATTTCGTGAAAAAAATGCGTCACCGTAAAATGTATACGAAAACGCGTCCACGAAAACATTTAAAACCTAGGCAGGACCAGTTTCCACCGAAATTAACCACCTTTTCCTTTTCCACCAAACATGACCCTTGTTCTTTTCTCACAAAAATTAACCTCTCCCTCTTCCACCAAAACGATTGGTACAGCTGGTATAGCTGCACTATATAGAAAAAGCGTAATCCTTTCGGCCATATAATGTCCGATAAATCCTTAGGTAATAGGTATATTACCTGTACGAATGTAGCTACGTTCAGCGGCGGTGTGAATGGATATTCTATGATGCAGTCATTTTATTTAAAAATTAGGGTGGCTACCCCCTTAAGACCCAATCTTATCGATAAAAAAATATTATGGCTAAAAGATATATTCTTTTAAATTACTAAATGAAAATACCGGTAAAAATTTGACAAATAAATAAAATATTAAATTATTAAAAATAAACGAAGAACTGATAGATTGTAAAACTGAACCAATCAAAGCATGTTATGATTTTAATGAGTCTTTCTCTGAGGTTGGGCACAATTTGAGTAAAAAATTTAATACAGAAACTTTGGAAGTACCAGAATCTATTGATAATCAATTTGATTATTTTTTTACCAAAGATGTGGACAAAGAAGAGGTTTATCACTTGTTTACCTCTCAAAAAGAAGACACTGCAGCAGAATTTGACAAAATATCTGTAAAGCTTATTAAAATCATTTTACCTCTTATTATTGACCCATTAATTTCTATTTATAATAACAGTTTAAAAGAAGGTATTTTTCCAACTCAGTATAAAGTATCAATTGTTAAATCCATTTTCAAAAGAGGTGATAAACAATATTTGGGAAACTATAGGCCTAGTTCAATAATCTGTAATTTTGCTAAAGTATTAGAGAAAATAATAAAATGCAAATTAATCAAATTGTTAGAGGAAAATAATATATTATCAAAAAACCAGTTAGGTTTTAGGAAACGTCTAGAAACCGTTGATGCACTCTATAAAGTATCAAAATGTATCTATAGTGCATTTGATGACAGTCAAAAGGCTATTATAGTTTTTTTGGATTAAGCTAAAGCCTTCGACACTGTTGACCACACACAAATTTTAATTTCTTTGCCAGGTTTTGGAATCGCCAACAAAAGTCTTAAATTGTTTTCAAGCTATCTTAAAAATAGGACTCAATATGTTTCATTAAATGACTATATGAGTAATGAATCTGTAGTATACCACAAGGCAGCGTCCTATTCATTATGTATATTAACAATTTATGTAACATGAATATTAATGGCTCTATTGCTACCTATGCCAATGATACCTGCTTACTGTTTACTAATATTCCATGGGATCAGGTGTATAATAAAACATAATCTGAATTAAATAGATTCTTTCAAAATCTTAATTTAAAAAAGATTACTATTAATTATGAAAAATCTGTTTTTATTGCGTTCTCCATTTATAAGTGTACTCAGTTATTAAATCAGCAACTAATAATATGTAATGATAATCATAAAGCTAATAATTCTAATTATTTTAAAATATTGATAGTAACAAAAGTTACTTAGGATTAATGTTACACTGTAATTTGAATAGGAACTTTTCTAATCAAAATATCAATATTCACCTACGTACTATTATCTATAAGCTATAGTGTTTGAATAAAATCCTCTCCCCAGATACTATGAAAATTGTTTATTTGGCACTTGGTCGATCTATCCTACAATATGGCCTAACTATATAAGTTGGTATCTTCGAAAAAACTCTAAAACAACTAATTTCATTATAGAATATAGCTGTTCGTATCTGCCTTAACAGTTCGAATCGGGTCTACTAATGATAACTATAATAACTGGGTGTACTTCCTTTAAAATTACTACATACAAAATATTCTATATCATTTACTTTAAAAAAATCACTCTAAATTTAATCCGATTTTAAGTAAATGTGAATCTATACGATACAATCTAAATGTCAATTATTCAAAAAAAGGTATTGGTCAGAAATTTGTGGACTATTTACGATCATCTACTTATTTCAATAATCTAGATAATAATTTTAAGAGACGTGTTAGATTAAAAACTAATATTAATTTAAATAAATCTTTATTAACTATTTTATAACTAAATTATAAATGTTATATAATTTATATCATTGTAATTTTCATATACTGTATAACTGCTTAAAAAATAACTAGCTACCTTCAACTTAAGCTCTACTTAAAGGAAGTAACTAAACCAATTTGTTTTTTCAGTATACTGGTAATGTATTTAATACTTATAGTATTTAATAAATAGTTTAAAAAAAAAAAATTGAATTATTTAATTTTTGTAAAATACATGTTTAGAAAACAAAATTATTAGGTGGTTATCGGTCGTTAAAAAAAGGTCGCTTCATGTGGAAAATAATAATTTCGCACAACCATTGGCTACATCAGCCGCTCGTTTTGTCCAAAATACCTTATCATTTACTGTCATAATTTCGGGTTGGACTTCTCAATGAGTTTGGGTAAAGTAATAAGTCAAATCAAAATTTTCGTTTACAAACCTGATAATTTCAATTAGGATAACTTTATCGGTTGTGGCTCTCGAATAGCGTATTTTACAGCCTGGCACGCATCTGAAATTATGACAGTAAGTGGAGGGGTTGTATTGGTCACAGTTGAGTATACGAAGTATAACACACGCAGCTATATTCATATAGTAAAATATGATCTAAGGAGACATCATATAAAATAACATCGGTTATAGGTACATTCATTGATTCTGTAATTCAGTGATAAAAATTATTTATTAATACTGAGTGCTTTCACTAACGCAAAAAAATTATGTTAATCGTATACAATATAATATATCGTATACCATCTAGTTGTATGCTCGTCATACATGACGGGTTATAGTGTTTTTATCTTTGGTTGCTATGGTAAACCAACAAAACGTTACAGATGAACGGACGGATTACGATTTTTATAGACTCGATAGGATTTGTTTTTGTTAATGTTAATTTTATTTGCGTTATTTCCTTTTAGTTCCTGCAATGTAAGCATTTGAAATAGGTATTTCAGTTGTATAACAGTTGTTTTTAATTTTTTGACTCACGTTGTAAATGTTTAATAATTGTGCAAATATTATAAACTACATCAAATTTAATACATTTTTTCATGCGTCCACGGACTCTGAGTGGATATTGGTCAATATCTTTTTTGGTGGAAAAAGGTAATGCCCACTAAAAATATATCTATCGAATCCACAATTTATTATCTTGTACGTATTATAGTAGTGCAATACTCCCCCATCAACCAAAGGAATTCCTAGAAATCAATAACATCCAAAAATTATAAATCCCACTCCGGGATGTGATGTTGGATTGCAGTTTCCCACCTGTTCGAAATTGTCGAGTTTTCATTTTTTTTTTTCTAAATTGAATATTTGGAAAAATGTTTCAAATAGGTGTGATACAGAATACTGCCGCAAAAGGTGTAGACGGTTCGGTACAGTTTTTACCAAAGGTGGGCATTCTATTGCATAAGATGATATTACACAAATTGTAATTAAATTTCCATTCAAAAAAACTACGACAACTTTATGTTGTCCATTATCCCAGTTGTCCATTCTATCTGCACCACAGTTTTTAAACTGTACTAGAATGTTACACTACTGTATCTCATTAAATAATATTGACAATAAAATTATAAAAAAGGTAGAAAAAAATTATAAAACTATCTAATATACTTAAAGTTTCGAACAGTTGATATTTTTTAAAAAACTAATTTTAATTTTAATTTTTTTTAGTATGTCAATTTATGTTTTGTTAAATTTGAATGACGGCTTTTACGTTTGTTTAACTAGTCCTAATCTTGTTCGTTAAGAAGTTCGTCTTTGGTTTTACTAGCCGAAAAAACGATGGTGAAAAAAACGCACGCACGTGAAATCATTATAAGTATTATAAAACCTGCGATAAATAATTATTATTTGCTCCGTTTGGAATTAAAAAAAAAAAAAAAAAAAACATATTAAAACCTATACGAACGAAAGGTGCCGTATTTCCTCTGTCTCCTTCCCCGCTCCCATAGATTATAATAAAATATTATTATACGCTACTGTGTTAAATACAAGTATTGTCTGATGGCAGAATATCACGTGGTTTTTACGCAGACAACGACGATCTAAAAAAAAAAAATAAAAATAATTTCACGAACACGTGTTGCGCACATTTAGAAATCGGATTCGGCGATGGGTTTACGACATTAATTATTTTTCAAACCGTCCGATTATAATATGCTATCTTTTAGCCTCTCGGCGGGGTCTCCTCGTTTTTCGAGGGGCTCGTCCAGGGATCAACGACGATATTTCGAACCTATTATATAGGTGTCTACTCGGAGATAGTCGGATACTTATCGAGACGATATTTTTTTATTTCCCCCCTCCCGGGGTTATTACGATACTCGTGCATCCTAGGACCGGTTTGGTCTCCGGGCGGTCCACAGCCCAACCCCGACAGCCACCTCCTCCGTCGCCGGTTGGAATTATAACTTTTTCATTTCTTTCTGTTCTTACATTGTACGCACTTCCTCGTAGTGCTTATACCACCAGTTGTCAAGAACAGGTATACCGGTTTAAAAACAAATATCAATATTTTTTCTGTTATTAATTTATAATACAGTCTTTTGAAAAATATTTTTAAACAAATTATTTGAATACGCTATGTACAGTTATAATATATATTAATTTGAATAGTAGGTACTTTTAGGTACTTTTTAATTCATTTTTTTTAATACTTAATAAAAATATGTATATATATATTAACATAAAATTACGCTGAACTCTATTTTTTTACTACCTATAGTACCTACAACTTACAATAAGCCTTGTATCAAATTGTTGAGCATTTAATCGAAGCAACACAGTTCTGAATCCCTAAAAAAACTTTACATTTTCAACTATAAATAAACGTCAGAATAGTATTTCGAAAATTTTACCACGTTAACATCTGATTTACAAATATTAAGTGAAATTATCACGTTTCTTACTGGATGAAAACAAAATCGTAATCAACAGAAACAGCATTATTGCGTAAATATTCATTTTTTTCTGGTTATATCCCGAAAAACATAAGAAAAATCTAAAAAACACTAACTCAACAAAATGTTCTGCCACAAATCACAATTGGAATTTACGATTGAAGTAAGATTTCTTGACTAAAAATTGTCTACAGACAAAAATTTCTCGTTCTTTTTTTATTATATATATATATATATATATATATATATTAACAAATAAGTTGACGTTATTACATAACTAGATGCTGATTGAAGATAAATAAAATGTTTGAAAAAAAAATAAACATCGTTTAGCAAAACTAATACAAGTACATTTTTCGTTAATCTCAAAATCTAAAAACTCCATATCATATCATTTCGTTAGTTATATTTGTCTGAACACGTTGTACGGCCTTCTGGGTTAGGTCAAAGTTTCTTCAATCGTTTAATTTGTTATTATCGGGTACGCTATACATTATGGTGTTCATTAATTTCAATAAACCTAATAGATTAGTGTTCTTATATGCAATGCAAATTAATTTACCTTTCAGTATTATGGGACCTGCGAACGACCTGTTTTTGGCTCAAAAACACGCTTTATATAAAAAAAAAATTGCCTATTTCGATTGTCTTTTCTTTTTGGTTGAAGTAGGAAAACTTCTTACAAAGTGTGCATTGGACTTGGAATTTTAAACATCATACTTCTATAAACGCTATAAATTAGAGTTTGAAAACTACCAATTTTTAAAATTTTCCAAAACGGATATCTGTTGGTGGTTTTCGATTATATAATAAAAAGGTTAAGTTTGTAGAAAGTTTTCCTCGTTGCGACAAAAGAAAAACATGTTCTACACCAGATAATTTTGGTTTTTATTGTAGAGTATATATTTAAAGCAAAATTAAAAAACAGATCACGCGCATATACTTCCCTTAATATACAAATTAAAACTAATCGATTTGTTAAGAATTGTTAAGACTTGTTAATTGTAAAAATATTAACGATTTGTAAAAAAAAAAAAAAACTGTTGCTATATTAAAACATTCGAAAACGTTAATACTTGATCCGCGGACTATTCTATATTATAATCGTATAGTATCGAGATGATTTACATACATGTATCGTATAACACTCGTATGTTTTAACGAGAGATGTATAAACAACTATGCGATAGTTTTAACAGATAATATTTCCTCTCGATATTGGTGCATAATATGACATAATATTATAATATAAGGTGTATTATGGTAATAAATAATAATGCGTTGATTACAGTGAATTGATAATGAAAAATAACCTTTTTATTGTGCCCGACAAATTGTGTCGTCACTGATGATAGAACGTCGACTTTATACTCTTGCAAGTGCATACACAGTGTACAGTGTCGCAGATCAGTGTTCAGAATGTAAATTAAAAGCATAATATATATTGTTTAACGTTACTAAAATATTATAGGATGGTAAACTCCTATAAAAGTAGTTCATTTCCAACATTGACAGTGTTAACTTCTACACTAGAGGTAGTTGTAAAAATGCATAAATTACAAAATTCAAAATATTATTGTACATTCGTTTTATAAATGATTAAAATCAGTAATGATTACTAATTTATTTACGTTTTTTTCTATAACACTCCCTTTTAATAAAGCCATACCGTGAAATTTTCCTTGTTCGTATTTTATTTTTTGCTCATTTATGTACTCATATTTTGTAATTATTTTTATCCGCTTAAGCCGTGTACCGTCACTGCTTCTATTTTGTACGTAGGTTACTGTCTGTATATTTAGTAAAACGTTTACAAATAAATGTGAATTAGGATGGCGATGATAAAAATTACGGTTAAATGTAGAATGAAACAATTGTTATTTCATTATTAGACCAAAATTTTGGAAGAAAAACTGAATCGAAAACATGTAATTTTCAGTCAGGTTAATAGTCGCAACACTGTTAAATTTAATCGTCGGATGGTTTATTTTCTAATAAATCAAAATTCTCTAAATCATCGGCATTTAAAAATGGTAAACCAAAAGTATGTACTAAGAACTTTCCAATTTCAGATTCATTATTGTTGTAGCAATTCGTTAGGTCTCATTGTTGGGTTTTTCTGGACTAATTTGGCACAAATTAAAATTACAACCACTTTAATTTCCGCTGTTGACCAAATATTTCTAATTGAATTATGAATGGAAACTTCGAAGTTAGATATTATTGTAAATGGTGAGAATAATAAATTATTTTGCGAACACATTTCGTTTATTTTTGAAAATAATAAGCTGTATGTTTGTTTATATATGTCAGGAAACAAAACAAAAACTAACATAAATACTAAAAGTATCTACTAGTAGTATGTAAGATGTGTTGTAATATTCAGTAAAGATTACCTATTCCAAACTTAATAATGTAAAGGTTTGTGTTGGAAATGCATCATCTATTTTGAACAATTACTAAATAACAATGTAGGAGTTACACTAATGTCTAAATTCAGATAAAAAGGTTATTTTTGTAGAAGTTTAAATGTAGCCGAAATAATGTTTATGAACGAAGAACGTTAGACTCGTTTAACGTTATATACTCGAATGAAATTATTGTTTCGATCCGGTAAAATTATATTATACTACTCGATATTTTCAAACGGTTTTCGCCAGCCAATTCTATTTTCTATTATTATTATTATTTATTTTTGTTGTACTTCTACACAAAAGTGTGCAAGTTTCTACACTCGTGCCGATGCAGAAAACATTGAAAACTATTAGGGGGTCACCCGCGGCCGCTTTAGAAACTGCGGAAAAAAAAAATTGGTAAAATGTACACCACTTACCTATACGCCTAATAATAATAATTAGTGTATAGTATATTATGTAAATTTTGAAAATTAGCCATTTATTGTTTTTTTTCATCGCGTGGAAATTATCGATACGCCTAAATTTAGCTGCGTTTATTTGATCTTAATGAGCGCGGTTAATGTTTCGGCAAATCCATATATAACTTATTTACTTAATTAAACTATTTTTTTTTTCAAACTTTTATACGGGTATGGGTAAAACAAATGTCACAAATATTAGGTCAGAAAAATTATGAATTTTTTGTAAAACAAAAAGAATAACGTACAAAAATATAACGATGATCCCGCAACATACTCCTGTAATATTAATAAGTTATTAGGACGGATCTTCATATGATTTTACATATTTTTATTTATTGGTCAAAAAAATGAGCTAATTTATACTAAAATTTGTTTCGTAAACTATCGAATATATTTACGCAATTTTATTTTGCAGCTTTTTTTATGATTTTTTACTATTTTAGAGTATATTTTGGTATTTTTAGTGTATATCAGCACCAAGGTTCTAGGACATATTTTACATATATCTGCTCTATTAACAACGTACTGGACCAAATTAATATTTCTAATTTCTTTTCCAATTGAGCATGATATATCATATCATTGTTGTCTTCTAAACACAAAAATGATAATATTTTATTTTATTTTTCGTACCCGTATATACTTTTCATATATCAGTGTATTGTTATGGTTTTATTGAAACGCAATGAAAATGTAATAGTTATTCGACGCCGATACATAGTGTTTTGAAAATGTTGTAAATCAGGTTAGAGTATATAGTATGAGTCGAATTTTCCCATAGACGACTTATTGTCACCGTTAAATAGTTTCATTTTTTTTTTTTTTAGATTCGAAGCGTAGCGAGGGATCTATTGGTTTTACTATATGATGTGTTTTTTAAATTTTTTTTTTTTTTTGTGCAGGTAAACAACTTTTCAACCAGAAATCTTGCTCTGATATATTAAATGTAGCATTTTTTCTGAAAGAAAATTTTATCTAATTGGTGCATTAAATATTATATCATTTTTAGATTTCCTTGTAAGTTTTCAATTAGGAAAAACTGAGAAGAAAATTATAGACAAAATGACGAATATTCACGGCTCGCCGCGACGTTCGTTACCGATTTATTGTTTTTAATTTTTGCAACTTAAGTTTTTTACCAGAAATATTGTTCCAATGGAAAAACGAAAATATACTTTTTTTATGTAGATTGGTGAGTAAAAGAGTCGTTTTTTGATTTTCACAGTAGTTTTTTTGATAATTGAGCAAAACCGAAAAAAAAAAACGTAGACCGAATAGATAAATTTACGAAAATAATGCTTTTTATACTCATACCTTATTATTATAACCCTACAAAATTTTATTTTTTTACATGTCATAGTTAATAATTATTAGTTGTATAAATTACTTACACTTATACACACTAACATAATTATGTATGATAATATAAGAAGTTTCAATTATAGTCTATATACTCTATACCAACTCGCATTTTGATGTCCGGTATCTATAACGTATATGGCTATACGGTACACAGGTTCCTCACATAGGTACTCGTAAATCGTAATTCAAATTATCTAAACTCAAAAGAGTAAAGACATTATTATTTATTGTTATTAAAACAAATAATATAATGTGTAGGGGAGAGGGGGGCACATTAAGACGATGGATAACAGAGAATAAAATCTAGCGGTTCATAAGGATATGCAACGGTATGTAATGTCAAATGTAATGTTTCCATTCTGTAGCGATTTGATACTAATAACCTGAATCATGTTTATCACTATTTTCTGAAATTTTGTTATTAAAATGAAAAAAAAAAAATAAGATAAGTCTATAGGAAGAATAGTAGGAATATCGTACATAAGATCTCGGGGCTCCCCAAAAAATTGCACACCCAACACTACCGATAATTGCGCCACTGCTTCGCACCTACAACAGTGGCACATCTGTCCTCAATAACAACTCTTTTTTTCAATATAATTTACCTAAAATAAATTCCTTTAATTTAGGTCTATGGAAACATTTAAAACCCAGTATTTCTTGTGTAAACGTGTAATTTGAGCATAAAAATGGTTGAAAGCTGAAACTCTCAAAAGGCACATCCTTTTTTCTCGACACCGTCATGCATGTTCAACATATTCTCAAATGCCAAAATTATTGAATTCAGGGGGGCTTAAATGCTCTTTAGATTTGTACACTGAGTACATTAACAGACATAATACAGTGTAAATATCTACAGTGCAATAATCTTTTCGGGGAAAATTCGACAAAAATACAATATAAAAGAATACAAATATTTACAAGCTACTTATGTTATTTTATTATAATATTTTCACGACGACGCTTTTAAAACCGTAATAATTAAATTTGTTGTTCGTAACATTAAAAAAAAAAAAAAACTGGTCAATTTCACTAGAGAATTTTTTTTACATAACAAATAGAGAAGGGGAAGTAGTAACACTAGTAGATATTTTTTAAGTCCCGAACAAATATGTACGTATACATAAATAAAACGCACGACAGAGGTAGGAACTTACGTTCTTTGTGTATAAACAAAAAGTGGTTGGTTGGTAGGTAGGTAAGTATGTTTTCAATTTTATACGATAACTAAAATCGTTAATACTGCAGCCGCAAAACGGTTACAGAAAACTTAAACTCCAAAAAACTTATTATAAAAAGAACAAAACAAAACTAAAGTTGTTTCAGATTACAAGGTACTCAATAAAATATATCAAATATAAAAAATATAAATAAAATAAAAAACATTATTTAAATATATTAATTTTTTTTTTTTTGGAATAGTTGCATAATACTATTATAATGAGATTAAGGAAAACAAGTTTAAAAACATTTTCAATCTACGGACAGATTTTTAAAATTATATTCTATAGGTAGTAATAATTTTTAGATAATAATAAAATTGTTTGAATCTATGTCATCGTATTGCGTTTATCGTAGTCTCTTTTAATATAATATTGGTTTACTCCCTTTATAAAATAGCAATTTACTCTATGCATTTCCCTTTTTTGATTTTATATTCCTCTACGAATTTTATTCGTCTTTGTTGTTTTACCTACCTGACGATATATTTTATTTTTTTTAATCGAAATCTGTCGTATATTGACTTTTATAACACTCAAGGCTTTGTTTTATTGTTTTTCAAATATATTTATTTAATTGTCTTGCATATATTACATATATATATTGTTATTTTTATCATTATTTGTATTTTTTATATTCAATAATAAACATGTATATATGTAACTATATATAAAAAAAATGTTTTTAATTTAATTTTTTTTTTTACTTACCGAAATCGTACAGGAAAAAACATATTTTCATAAGCAGGAGTTTTTTGTTTACTTCACAGTTGAACATCATTTTTGTTCGTCTTCAAATATGTTGCACAGGTTACAGGTACCTATATATTATTATATTGAAATTACTAAAACCGAACGAACCACCGAGCTATTGAACGTACTATGTATGTTATGTCGGTAGGTATCCGAGAATATTATAAAACACGAAAATCCGTTCGGCCTATCGAAAGAATCATTGATTTTTCGAAGAGAAAGACAAACGAAAAAAAAAATCAAATATAATAATATTGTCGGCTTTACTCGGCGTGCAAAAGCGTGTTACAGATGTGCCGTTCCACGGAAAACTCCGGTTGCCGGCGACCGCTGCACGCCACCAGAAGAAAAAAAAATTAAATATCGACCGCCATCATCGATACATCGAAACCGCGACGCGCTACTATCGATAGTGACGGACATCGATTTTCGTCGGCTCTATGTCGTTGAATGTGATGTTTTAATAACACGGTGGGGAAAGGTTTTTTTAGCGATCAACGGGCGGCCGCGACAGCCTCAGCGCGGTCTAGCTGCGTCACGACGACGGCCCCGTGTACCTAGCTCCTATATTATAATATACACATACATAATATTTATTGTTGTATTCGTTAATATCGTAATACTGTTACAATCGTTACGAATTCGTGTAAATAAAAAATAGGTACGCAGGTGTATTATAATACGTATTGAAATAGAATCGGTCGAAAAATTGTTTATTGTTATTATTATTGTTGTTATTGTTATCGGATATTTGATCTAAAACCTAGATAACTACGAAAATACTTGTCGTTTATCTTACTAAATAATTTCAAGTCATCTAAATACACTTATCTAAAGCCGGCGGTCACACGATGATATTTTAACGTGATAGTTACTATCGTGATAGCCGTTATCAAGAGATTTGTGCTGTACCATCACTGAGTGAATAATACTATCATGCCTGCATGATATTTGTAGTTTTAACGCGATAATGACAGCAACTATCACTGTAAATACTATTGTGGTGCGAAAATTCGTTCAGTCGTTTACACATCACAGTCATGGAAGCGGAAATCTAAATGGCGCTAAATATTATGATTATCAAATTTTTAATCAATTTAAATTATGTCTACAATGCAATTATAGCAAACTCAACTTGTTCGGATAATATTTAATAACGCCAATAAATAATAATAATATTAATATATTAATGATATACCTACTATCATTGTCACTCATGATATTGCGTCTGAAATCGTGGTATACGTAATGATAGTGATAGTAAATCATTGTGAAAGCGGTATCATACATTCGAGATAGCAACTATTACGTTTAACTATGTACCAAATATATGTATTAACTAATGTATCAAAAGTAGCATCTTTTCAGAAAAGAAATTTGATCTACTTGGTAGTACTTATGTCATTTTTTGATTTTCGAAGATGTTTTCATAATAATTGGGAAACACGTTGGTATTTTTTTTTATAAGAATTCTAGTATTAAATGTTGACGAAATTCATAAATATTATGGCCTGTGAAAACATATATAATCAAACTCCGTTCAAAATGGTTTTTCGTTAGCAATGGTTTATCGTTGCTTACGTATATAGATATACATTAAATTATCGTTTATCCTACCTTTCCAATTTCTCATTTACAACAGTGGCCTATCACTCCCTTTCAAAAATTATGCTACGTGTATATATCTAAACAAGATTTCTGGTAGAATCTGTGTACACAAAATAAAACAAAATATAAAATAAAATAAAAATAAGCATCTTAATAACACCAATACATTCATCGCTACACTCTAAATCTAAAAATAAAATATATAACGTTTTAAAATTAAAAATGAATTTTTTTTGCAAATATTTCAAATGCATAGTATTAGAACTTAAGTGCATATAAACATATACTTCAGAACATTCAAATGAGTATTTGTCCAGTTTTTAGTACATAAGTGTATGCCTATTTGTACGATTATTGAGTTGGTTTATTGCTGTATTATTTATAAAATCAAAAATATAAAACGTGACCGAAAACGATGTCCGCAGAAAAATTACTGTTTTTTCGTTTTTTTTTTTTTTGTACATGAACGCCTAACTATTAGTTCAATAGGAGCTATTGTTTAAAACGCGATTGTATATAATAATATATGCAGTGCGAAGTATTATATAACTGAATGTATTTTTGAATTAATTCTAAATTCACAAGAAATCAAGACAGTTTTGTAATAGTCTCTAATAATTATTATTTACGATATTCACCTGCTAATATACTGATTTCAGTAGGAAATAATAGGGGAATTTAATTTTAGATAAGTGTTACCTATTAAATTAAATACGATAAGCTTTTAATTTTTTTTTTTTATATAGGTACCTATATAATTGTATAATGCAAATTTTTATTAGTTATACAGTTTTTAAATGCAATATTTTAAACCACATATTTACATATGTTTTGTAAGCAGTTTTTTTTCCTGTAAGTAAAGAAAAAAAAATAAATAACATTAATGTATGATTTGACAAAAAAAGTAGTAGCTTTTGTTCTAAATTCAAAATATTATTAATACACACCATTGGTGTAGATGAAAAATCGGGATGTTGAGTACTGTAAAGACCTGCACAGGCCGACAATTCATGGTCCAGTCAAGCTTGATTGTAAAATAATCTAGTCCAGTCCAGTTTTTTTGTGTGTATATAAATGTACGACTCAGCCCAGCCAGGATTTTTGTTTATCATTTTCGAATAACTGTACAACGCTGATCATATCTTCGTGGTGGTATTAGGTTAAGAATATAAATGTTGGTAATAGTCAGCGTTTTTGTTGAAAAAAACTCTAGCCCATAATAAGTTTATAATTGAAAAGCCCGGTCTGGCTCTCATGTATACATATGTTAAAAAAAGTTAAGGACCAGGTTAAGTTTTGGAAATCAGTTTTGAATTTCTATGGTTTTAATTTTGATTTTTACATTGGTATCGATTTTTTAACGGTTTTAACCGGTATTTAAAATCGATTTTGAAACCGGTTTTAATTGCTCTGATCTGTATTCTCTATCTGTAGGTACTTTGTCATTCCTAACGAAAAAATATTAAGCAAAACTCGCGGTTAAACATGTTTTAATACAAACTTAAATTGAAAATACTGATAATTTTTAACCACAAAATAAATTAAAATAATCCGTGCTTTTCATCTCAAAGTTTTGAGCATTTTTATGGAACTAAACAAGTGTAGTGAGAAAAAAAACAAAAGGTGTTTTATTTTGTCACGGTAATAATATTGCACTTTTAGTTGGAGTAAAAATACTCGAAAAGATATTTATGTCGTATAATTATGATGCAGTTAATTTATATATGTTAATTCGTAGTTAAATATAATAGTATTATATTAGTATAGGCACACTATACAGGATGATCAATAAAAAAACGCAATCCACTTATTATCTCGGACAATATTAATTTTATTCGGAGTTTGTATTTTTAGAAATTGTAAGAAACAAGCAGTTTTAAAATGTTACATTGTCGCTATTTTTTGATCACTCCTATTACTCAGGGAGAGGGGGGTATTGAAGCCTCATACAAATTTTGATTTTTAAATAAAAACCTATACATAAAAAAATCCCATAAATATAGACGGAATTTTAGTTTAAATAATTATTTTCAGTGTTGAAATTTTCAAATTCCGTCTACCCGTTGACGAGATATTTCGCTTTTAAATATGTTATTTTATTAAGATAAAAGTTATTTACGCTTGTTGAATTATTATACAGAAATTAATAAATTGTAGTGCAATAATTAAAACACATTTTATGTAACAAAATAAAATATGTAATTTATTTACATAAGCTACGTAAGTATAAATACGTAATTTGTAATAAGTATATTATAAATTGATTACGGTATTTTTGTCCGATAAGTATAATAAATCGGTATGATAACGTAAACGCTTTCGCAGCACTATCTATTTCTTCTAATAGTTTGCGTTTGATCGTTGACGTAGTGCTCAGATTCAATGACGTCATAGTTGTAGAACCATGACGTCACTACGTCAGACGCGTACCTAAATAGTTTGAGCGCTACCATGTGCCGAATAACCGTAACGGCGCACGACGCTAGTGGGTTGGCCGCGGGGAAAAAAAAATGCCAACGCCGAAATTCACTATTACTACAAGTATTTATGGCATTTTTAATATTATATAGGTTGCTATTCGAATATCAAAAGTGGGCAGGGGTTTTACCATCAAATACTACGGCAACGAAAAATAACGGTATTGTGATATTTCTGAGTAGCTGAATTTTTTAAATTTTGTAAAACACAAATTCTAAAAAAAGTCAATACTTCCCGAAACAACGAGTGCCTGACATTATGTCGATCATTGTGTTAATCATATTGTGATAATTTGTCCATTTCGTTAATACTACACACGTGTACAAATTTTCGAGACGTTAAAAAATACCGGAAAAGTTGAAGAATAGAATAAAAACAAAAATTATAATCCACGAACTTCAATATTATATAAGATTTTTATACTTCACTACTTAACTGCAGAATTGTAACTTGTAACCCATTTCAAACTATGCGGTTCGCAACACGGATACAAATTAAAATGTTTGCTATATTAAAATAATATTTACTCAGATACTAGACCTTCTTTTTTCGTACTTTTTTTTTTAGATTCTCTATAATTATTATAAAAATATTTCACATACCCATAAATATGGTTTATGTTTAAAATTACGGACTTAGAAGATAAGACCGTAACGGCGTAACATTGGGCTATCTATTAAATGCGGCCATTTGCAGAGGCAAATTTAGCACGATAATCAAGCATTTTTGGTTTAGGTTGAAAATAACAGTTGTAATTAATTTTAATGAATAATAATAAGACTGTTCATTTCTTTAGAAATATAAGATTTTAAAATTATGAATAAAAGAAAGAGAGCTTGTATTACAAATGGGTGCTCCACCGATATAAGGTGGGAAGTAGAGATGGTAGAATACATAGTTATTTAATTTATACAAGCAACGATAAATAATTGCTAAAGAAAAATGGTTTCGAGCAAAGTTTGTTCATGCATGATTTGGAAGGCCTCAATATTTACGATTTGAGAAAATTCAGTTTTTCGCATTTGATGAGAAAACATCAAAACATCACGAAAAACTGAAAAAAAAAAAAGGGAAAATGTACGAAAAATATTAGTATAATATTACAATTTTTTTTTTTCAATTGACAACTTTTCTACTAGCAATTTTGCTGTAGTAAGTTTTCTGATAGAAAAAGTATTCACATAAAAAAAAAAGTAAACATCTTTGTAAAACCAATACAAGAAAAAAGACGCAAGTGAATTTATTCTATAGTTTTTATAACTATTACTCAATCCAGTAAGTAACTACTGTATT